TGGCGTCGATGTTGGGCCGAGTTCAGATCTCAAAAAAATAACCACTGATTATTCAACATCCGAAGATCTCCAAAGTTTCAAGCTGGGTACATCATATAGAAAAAATGGAATCAAGTAGAAGAAATTTGCTCCGTTCAAGTAACATTCTGGGAAGGGAAAGGGCCTTGTTTCGGGGCCTTGACCCAAGTTTACGGACCCTCTGGGAGGCAAGTTTTTTGGGGAACCCATTTTTGTGAAAATCCGAAGAATTTTCTGTCGCAGTGTCATGGAATGTCAAGGAATGTCATGGAATGTCAAGGAATGTCATGGATATGCAGTATGCATCTGAACATTCACACATATTCACACATGGTTTTTCGGAAGTCGTCCAGAGATACACCGCTCCTCTCGTCCAAGTGAGGTTTTTTCGGTGCGAGATCCGCTCCCAGAGATCTGCCCTTCAGAGTTTTTTTTGGATTCCAACGGCAAGATTTTTCAGAACGGCAATGGGGATCTGGTTAATAGTGATGGTTAATAGTGGTTAATAAGGTATAAACCAACAACAATGGCAATATGATGGTTATGATACTGGTTGGTGGTGACTGGAACATAGGGATTATCTTTCCATATAATGGGAATGTCATAATTCCAACTGACGAAGTCATATTTTTCAGAGGGGTTGTTTTACCACCAACCAGATAAGATCTGATAAGATCTTATAAGCTCTAAACATACTTCTTCAAAAGATGTGTTTTTTTGATGTCCAATTCTTGCCCTGTGGTGGAATGTATTGTATCATATTGCATTGCTTTATTTTGTGAGATTGTACGGGAAGGTTAGTTGATATGACATAAAAGGGATGAGCTGGCGCCAAAAACGGTGCCCGAAAAAACATCACCAGTAACTGTAGGAGATAGATATAGAATCATATAGATACATAGTGATGCATAAGACACGGATTTGAACTGTGGGAATCGGCTTTGAGGCTTTGAGGTATCCCAATTTCAGAAGATTTTGAATGTTTTTGATGGGGTCTCTGAAAGGCGGAGTTCCAAAACTAATGTTCCACAGATCGGCCGGTCGAAGACCAGCGGAGATGTCCATGTTTGCTGGGTAGCGACTTTGGATCCGAACTTGTACCGCACTCCTCCCGGACTTTGAACATAAAGTCCCTGTAGGGTTGCGATGGAAGCTGTGGGAGCTGTGGGGACATTTGGGTCAAACAAAGGCCCCAAGTTTGTTTCGTTCAGTGAATTGTCATGAAATTTGCGAAGTAATGCGAAGTATCATTATTTGCCCTGAGTGCCAAATAGACTATCCATATTAACGAATATAAATATTATGTACAATATATATATATACACATACATATTAATATGTATATATATATATTGGTTTGAATTTTATCATGTTTAAGACCTGGTACATCAGTCACACAGCTCCTTGTATAGTTTTTGCGAAGGAGAACGGAGGAGAAAGTATGTGCTTCACCGGCTTCAACCATGAAAAGCGGCAATTTCACCAGCCAAAGGTGGGGTCAAACACCAGAAATCACCAGAAATCTCGGGAACAAAAAGAAAGAGTTGGAGTTCAAAGTGCGTGTTTTTTTGTTTTTTCAACCTTAAGAAGGGGATCACTGTGAACATAGGGATATCATAGGGATACATATATTGCATATAGATATATAAGAATAAAATGAAGAATTATCGGGACAGTAGGTATGTATATCTGGGAAACTAACCCTGAAGTGCAAAATCAAGGCCATTCTTAGAGTTTTTTCCCGAGACTCAAACATGTCAAAATTATGTCCAGATTGTGTGCGTTCTGAGTCTTACTCAGAAAGCAGCTGGCTGGCTGGGTGCGGTACTTTATAGTTGGAAAAGCTACTATGCAACACATTCACGAAAAAAACATAGTGTACATTCATACACACATATATAATTTTAAGAGATCAAATATGTATATATTAATATATATATATATATATGTGGACGGAATCTACAAGTTGGGGACTCCACCTATTGTTATTTGTTGCCCCAAATAGATAACTTAGTGGAAGAACATGGAAACCATCTTTCACCATCTTTCACCCAGTTGTAACCACCACAATCGAATCTTTATCGCAGGTTGATTGCCAGTTGCATGTTCCAACAGTGTTTGAACGGCTTGCTTAAGGCCTCACTTCCCAAAGACATAAGCATTTTTCTGACCGCTGGCGCCGCTGGAGCAGCACTTCTAGGAAAGCACTTCCTAGTGAAAATTGGGAAACTCAAGTGGCTTTGGGTCAAAATGAAGATCTGGGGGACCCCAGATTTAAGTCTATACTGTTTAGTATCAACCATCCAATAATTGGGCTACCGCATTTTGACCACCCAAGTGTCATTTTAGGGCCCACTCGTGTATCAGTGACATATTGTCTTCAGCTCAAGCAGGCTTCCCAATTTTGCCCGCGATGTCCTGAGAGATCAGGAAACGAAATCTGCATGTCAAGGACATGGCAAAAAAAGTTGGAGTGCAGCTTTGAATTGCGGCATTCACATCCTATGTCTGAACATACCCAAACTTCAACCCAAACTGACCATTCAATGTGGAATATATATATATATATATGTACACACACATATATATATATATATATACACGTATATTGTGATTTGTACATTCCAATGCCCAGGATGACAAGCACCTCCACTCTCGAGTGTCCTTTCTCAAGGCGTGTTGGCTCAGGCGAGCATAGGTGCGGGCAGGGTGGGCTCATACGCCCTTTGAGCCATTGTGTGCTGGTAGCAGGGTCTACCATTTTGGACCGGGGTGTCCTTGCAGTTTTCTCTGGAAAGAAGGGTTCGAGCCCAGCCGATACCTGTGCCAAGTGTCCGTGAACATAGCACTTCTCAGCTGGCATCGTGAAAACAACAGTTGGTGGGACGTGCAGTGGAGCGGGAACAGACCGATCTTTTGGTGGAACTGATTTATTCATTTTACAACTGATTTGTCTTTGAGCTGCCATTCATTTCATCAACTGGTGTTGCTGCCATTTACATTGGTAGCGGAGCCCCCCGCAAAGGGGGGTATCCGGGAAAACTATGTCATCGACTTCCGATGCTGGAGGTTCAGGTGTCAGCAATCAACTGTCGTCACTGGTTCCGACATTCGATCCTGCCACTGATGATCTTTTGATTTATCAGCAGAAGGTGGAATTGGTAGTCGCAGCATGGCCTAAGGGGAAGCTTCCAGAACTGATCACAAGACTGATTTTGGGGTGCAAAGGCACGGCATTCCAAAAGTTGCAGATACATCAGAGCGAGCTTCTTCGAGGAGATGAAGGTAGTGTCAAGAAATTGATAGAATACCTGGGGGGACAGTGGGGCAAAATTGCCCTAGAACGCCAATATGAAGATGCAGAGCAGGCTCTGTATCATACGATACAGAAGCCAGACGAGGCAAACGACTCGTACTTGGCCAGAGCTGACGTGATGTGGAGCCGACTTTTGGCCCGACAGATGACGCTGAATCAGATCCAAGCGTACGTGGTTCTACGAGGATCTTTGCTGACGGCAGATGAGAAAAAACGAGTGATCATGGACAGCGAAGAGTCTGGAACCCTCACTATGAAGCGAGTACATGAGGCCATTAGGGTCCTTGGGGCGAGTTTCTTCAATGAAATGACCGGCCGCAAAGCCACCCGGACGAAGATCTATGACAACACGACCTTCCTGACGGAGGCCACCACCGACCATGCCGCAGTTGCAGAAACAGATATGGGAACCAATTTGAATGATGATCAAGCAGAAGCTGATTTCTTGGAGGTTTTGATCCAAGAGGGAGACCAAGATGCGTTGCTCATAGCTGATTTTGAGGCAGCTGCTCAGGAGACGGTTCAGGATGATCATGAGTTAGCAACGGCATTTTCAGCATATCAGCAAGCTCGACATCGGTTGGGTGAAAAGTTTCGCAACCGTGGATTCTTCCCTGCAAAGCCATTTGCTGGAAAAGGAAAGGGGTTTGGTGGCAGACCTTTTGGAAAGGGGAAGGGATATGACAATCGTCCCAAAAAGACTCTGCAGGAACGTATCATGTCCTCAACATGCAGACTGTGTGGAGTTCGCAGACATTGGAAGGCAGAATGTCCGTTGAAAAATCAAGGAAGTGCCAACTCATCAGAAGCTCAGACTGCTGCTCCGACCTCTACTGTGATCACTACCGCCAGCAGCAGTAGCTTGCCGCTCGAGTTCCTTGAGTTACCTGAGACCTCCATAGATGAGCCCAAGCCAAGTTTAGCCGTCTGTTTTACTTGTGAACCAGGTTTTGATAAGAACAGATATAGTTACAGGGGACGTATTCTTGGGGAATCACACAAAGGGAACTATGATCTGAATTTTGGTTTTAGCAGGTTCACAGCCAAAGAACGTTTGCGCAGCCATTTTGTCAGGACTGAAAGATGCCAGATGCCGACCCACGATGCCAGAATGAGCGACACCCGGAGTTTTCAATCCGTGAGTGCCAGATCCGTTCCGTCCAGTCATGCCAAGGTCATTTTGACTAAGGTGAACAGTGACGTAGCTGCTGCAAAAAGGGTGAGTAATGTGGCAACTCACCAACCAATACCAACTAGCCCAGTGTGTTTTGCAACTCATGATGCCTACGGAGTACTTGACCTTGGCGCCTCAAAGACTGTCATAGGATCAGAACATGTGAAGGGTTTAATTCAGAGCCTGGATGAGGAAACCCGTTCTCAATTGTCCCGTTGTCCCTGTGAAGTCACCTTTAAGTTTGGTAATCAGGGTACTCTGACTAGCAGCCAGGCAATTGTGGTACCCATAGGCAAACTCCGACTCAAGATAGCGATCGTGAAAGGGGGAACACCCTTCCTCATCAGCAACACTTTCATGCGAGCCATTAGGGCCAAAATCGATTGCTTTTCGCACAGCCTGTCAAGCCCGATGCTGAATCATGCCATCCCATTGGAACTCACCGAAAGAGGATTGTTTCTACTTAATTTGAACGATGTTGTGAAGGCCGCCATGAGTCAGCAATCCTGCGGAAGCCCCGACACGAAGCCTGTCGAAGCTACCTTCCTGAGCACTGAAAAATCCATTGCCGCAACAGCTGCTGAAATTTTGAATTCCGACAAGCCATCAGCCACAGATTTCAGCATGCCTTTGACAGAATCCGTGAGTCCAAAGGAATTTCAAGAGGCGACAGGTATCCAAGTCTTAACATCCGAAGCCAATGTTGACCAGGAGATGAATGATGACCACCGTGAGCCCACGGTCCAAGATCCCTGCCGAAAGCCTGATCGAACTTTACTGTCTAGCCATGTCTCTCCTTGCCCGCCTGAAGGCTGTTCAGACCGAAGTGGAAGTGCCGCTGACCGACTTGTCTCAGTTGACACTCGCAGAGCTGAAGACAGAGGTGGTCACCTTCGGACAGAAGCACCAGGGGGAAACGTACGAGACGGCTTGGGAGGATCAAGGCTGGATCAACTTCATGGTGTCGAAGTATGGAACCAGCAAAGTCCTCAGCCATCGCCGCCTGATCAGGTTCGTGGAGTTGATGGTGGAGCACCACGAAAGAACGAGCACCCGAGTGCCTGTGCTGCCCCCACCGGAATCGGTGCCCGGAGGCTACGCCCTGATCGGCGAGCTTTCTGGACGCAGATCCACCCGAGCCAAGGCCAAGGCCATGAGCACAGTTCCATCTGGGGTCACAGAACCCATTCCACTGGACCAGGACGAAGAGCAGGAGTTCGAGATGTTCAACCAGGGGACTACGGCCACGACTCCTCTCCATCAGGATCCGGAGTTCACTGCACTTCAGGATCGTATCCTGAACATGGAGAACGCTCTGGGCCGCGTGATCAAGCACCTGGAGGACCAGATCGAGAAGCAGTAGACGTGAGTGATCCCGAAAGTGAGACGGTAGCCGAGTCATGTCTGGCCATGCACCAAGATGTTCAGGAACTGCATCAGATGATCCAGAAATTCACTCAGGAACTTGAAAGTGTGTTATCATCCAGCAAGCCATTAGGGAAACCTTTCATGATGGGTGAAGTGTTTTGCAGTGATGCATCACCTCTGACGCAGCAGGTCCTGAACATGGGACATCAGGCATTTAGGTTTGGCCTTGCACAGGGCGATCTTTCAACCATCGGTGGCCGGCAGAAGCTATTCCAGATGATAGCCAGTCATAGACCGAAGCATTTATGGTATAGTCCAGTTTGTGGTCCATGGTCGTCTTGGTCTGCCCTAAATGCCAGTAGGTCTTTGGAGTCGTAATGGGAGTACCAACAACAACGTAGTGATTTGCGATATCAGATTGCCCTAGGTGTTGTTCTGTATCGATATCAAGTATCTAGGGGATTACACTTCAGTTGGGAGCAGCCCCAAAAATCGTTGATGTTGCTTCACCCAGGTCTCAATGAAATTCACCAGCATACCCAGGTAAGCCAATTCGACATGTGTGAAGCCGGTGCACTCAAAGATCCTGTCAATCAACTCCATATGAAGAAGGGAATGCAAGTAGTCACTACTCATGAGCCCCTGTTTCGTGCACTCCATGGTCGAACATGCAAGAAGAATCACGATCACCAACACCTTGAGGGATCGACACAAATTCATGGTCACTCAATCCTCCGAACCAAGTTTTCCGAGATCTATCCCCGAAAATTTGTGAGACTGGTTGCAAAAGTTTTGTGCCAACGTGGTCACCACTGGCCGTTTCAGTGGAAAACCGGCCTTGCCCTGTGTCAATGCAATTCTGGTGATCCGACACCAGTGCTTGCAGCCAGCCAGAAGCGTTCCACCGTGAGACTTTCACGATACCGAGGCCGTGACAGCTTTGCCCGATCTCAACTGTCGACGCCGGAAGAGAGTGATGAAGCCGGTGTGAAACGAAGAAGACTAGAAGGAAAACAAGGTCCCATACCCACCATGAAGGATTGTCAAACTGTCTTTCAAGAAATCCAACAAATACTACCCCGAGTTGGGAAACGAGAGATTCAAGATTCCAGCATTCTTCAACAACTCCAAATAATATTTCCAGATCGTCAAGTGATCACAGCTGTTGCATGCAGAGGCACTGATCGGACCATTCCTCCCCCTGAACATTTACATAAGAGTCAAGCCCCTTTTCGTAAGACACTCATGATTCTCCGACCGTCAGGGGATATCAGGTATGAAAAGGAATGGGAATGCTGGTCAGATCTTTCCAATCGACAAATGATCAGGCCCGCTCATCCGTGCCGCATCAACATTACTGTTTTTGCCAAAGAATTTGAATCTGAGATCACCCCAGGTCAATCCAGCACTCATCCGACCCCGACAGTAAATCGGGAGACTGGTGCCCTTGATGATCCGATGCCAGCCAATCCCGAGATTGTGAGTTTGCAGCCCATGCACCCGTCACCACAGAATGGCGAAGTCCATTCACCACGTGTCACTACGACTCCGGACTCTGAGAGACCCGAGCAACTGGCCCACCGAGAAGTTTGCAGACATGATCAGGGTTCCTATTTCCATGCACTCCCAAAATGGGAACAGAACCAACTGATACAGATTCATAAGAATCTAGGTCACCCTTCCAATGAACGACTTGCCAAGGCACTGCAATCAAATGGCCAGAGACCGGAGATGGTGAAAGCTGCACTCGAGCTCAAATGTGGCATTTGTGCCGCCAGTTCCGCTCCCAAGCATCAAAGACCAGGACGACTGAAACCACTTCTTGATTTCAACCATAGAGTCTATGTTGATGGAATCAAGTGGACGAATAAGAATGGTCAAAGTTTTCAAATGTATCATGTCGTAGATGCTGGGACACACTTTCATGTTGCCTTCACTGCCCCTGCGCACTCGACCAGAGATGTGATTGCCCTGCTGAACCAGCACTGGCTGAATTGGGCGGGAGCCCCACAGGAAATGAAAGTTGACTCTGGTACCGAATTGAACAGTGATGAATTCCAACAATTTCTTCAGAGGTTTTCCATTCGGTGTACAACGATAGCTCCCGAAGCACATTGGCAGAACGGCACCATAGAACGCCATGGAAATTTTCTACAACAAATGCTATCCAAAGTGGACCTAGAGATACCCATTGAAAATTATCATCAATTGCAATTGGCCCTGAACCAATGTTGTCAATCCAAAAATAGCATGATGGTAAGACATGGTTACAGCCCTGAAATCAGGGTTTTTGGTAAGCAGAGCCGACTCCCAGGTTCCGTGCTCAGTGATGAGTCACTGCCGGCTCATACAGCTGCCATCCAGGAAAATTCAGAGTTTACAGCAGAGCAGTTTCGCGATCAACTCAGGCTTCGAGAAGTGGCAAGACGAGCCTTTCACACAGCCGACAATAGCGATGCCTTGCGGAGAGCACTGCTTAGAAGATCATGTCCATCTAGGGGTGTATATCATAAGGGCCAATGGGTAATGGTTTGGAGAAATACGGGTCCCCAGAAACAAAATTGGATTGGTCCTCAAAGGGTCATAATTCAAGATGAAAACCACGCGATCTGGACTACTCAGGGAGGCAGACTTTACCGCAGTGCACCAGAGAATGTCAGATTGTCACTTCCTGAAGAGGGCGAACCCGGTGGACCTGATTTGCCCGAAGATTTGACTCAAATTCAACAGCAGATCAATCGCATTTCCCAACATCCTGAAGCCATGCAATCAATTCCCGAAAACGAACCACTTGAACCTGACATTGATGCCACGTTAAAAATACCACAGCCTTTTCCAGAAGACCACCCTGTAGCTGATTCCGAGTCAAGTCGTCGAGACAGCACTGCCAGTGAAACCACCATTCAGCCAGATCAAGAACCTGAAACGTTAAGCCGTCAAGAGACTCATCATCCTGATGAATCTCCAACTGATCATGCCGAAACTTTCCTTACGTGTGCTGAGGATGAATGCGTGCTGACAAACAGCAATGATAATCCTCTTGCCTGGAAGTGTGAATTCGACATCACAGTGCCAGAAACAGTTGTGAAACAAGATCTCACTCCAGAGGAAACCTGGATTCTTGTAGCCACAACTTCAAAGAAACAACGATCTGAAGTCCGACTGGCCGAGCTCACACCCAGTGAACGTGAGGAATTTGCTGCTGCCAAGCAAGTTGAAGTGAACAATTGGATCAAAACCGAGACTTTATCAGTAATGCTGCGTGACCAGATTCCCCCCGATCAAATCTTAAGATGTAGGTGGGTACTCACATGGAAACCATTGGACGTAGCTGAAGGGGGTGTAGATAGCCAAAACCTCAAACAACATAAGGCCAAAGCTAGGATTGTGGTACTAGGATACTTAGATCCACATCTTGATGAAATTCCCCGTGATAGCCCCACTCTTGGTAGATCATCCCGAATGGTAATCCTTCAAACGATCGCTTCACATGGATGGCACTTGCAATCCTTCGACATCAAAGCAGCTTTTCTCCAAGGACAACCGCAGAAAGACCGTTTAATCATAATTGATCCTGTGCGTGAACTTCGAACAGCCATGAAAATGCAGCCTTCCGAAGTAGCTAGACTTCATAAGGGGGCCTACGGTCTAATCGATGCTCCATATCTTTGGTATTGCGCATTGGTTCAAGAATTGACCAGGTTAGGCATGGAATCTTGTCCATTCGATCCTTGTGTCTTTATACTTCGTGAAGATTCGTTCACTCCAAGTGATGATCAGCTGAGACCTTCCAACACTAATCCTGCCACTGGCCCGATTGTTGGAGTACTTGCTGTCCATGTGGACGACGGCATTTGCGGTGGAAATGAGCAATTTCAGCATGTTATTCAACTTTTGGAACGAAAGTATCCCTTTGGAGCCAAAAAGATGACTTCCTTTACTTTCACTGGTATTGAGGTAAATCAAGATCCCAGTTTTAACATTACCCTCAGCCAATCCAACTACATCCGCAAAATCAGTCCAATCCCTATTGACATTAACCGTAAATCCCATCCTGAACAACCCGTCAATGATGAAGAACGTGGGCTTCTTAGAGGATTAATTGGGTCCCTGCAATACGCCTCTACAAATACCCGACCAGATCTTTCAAACAGATTATCTACCTTACAGTCACAGATCAACAGTGCTCAAGTTGAAACTATCATGGAAGCCAACAGACTCCTTCATGAAGCAAAGAAATACCACGACACTACCATCACTATCAAATCCATACCCCATGATGATCTTCGGTTCATGGTATTTTCAGACGCCTCATTTGCATCCAGTTCCAAACCCTACTCATATGCCGGTAGCATAACTGTAGGTACCCACCGAGACATATCCAAAAATGTTGAATGCCCTATCAGCCCTTTAATATGGGGAAGCAAAAAGATCCAAAAAGTAGTAACTAGCACGCTTTCAGCAGAAACCGTTTCCATGGCATCCGCCTTGGATCAATTAAGTTGGCTGCGGTTATACTGGAAATGGCTCCATGACCCCAAGACTCAATGGCATCGACCCGAAGATGCTCTTATGAAGGTTGAACCAGCCATCTCAGTTGCCACATTGCCTTCGACCGCAGATGTTGCAGTAACTGACTGCAAGAGCCTGCATGATCTCATCACTCGTACTGCTCCTCCGCAGTGCTCTGAGTTCCGTGTCCAGCTTGTTGCCAGGGCCATCAAGGAGACTTTAAGGGAAGGTATTAACTTGAGATGGGTCCACACAGGAGCCCAACTAGCAGATGCACTGACTAAAGCGATGGAAGCCAGAGACCCTCAAACATGGTTCTTATCGACTTTGTGATGAAAATTCAATGTTGAAAGAACGCGCCAAAACTCGTGACAGAATCAAATGGCTCAAACAACAAGGATCCAATTCAGAGAACGATACATTCAATAACAATCCTACTTCACATGCAACTTCACTTGATACAACCAATTCTCAATAAATTTCCCTTTTACTTTCAAAAAAAAAAGAAATTTTGGGAGTGTGATTTGTACATTCCAATGCCCAGGATGACAAGCACCTCCACTCTCGAGTGTCCTTTCTCAAGGCGTGTTGGCTCAGGCGAGCATAGGTGCGGGCAGGGTGGGCTCATACGCCCTTTGAGCCATTGTGTGCTGGTAGCAGGGTCTACCATTTTGGACCGGGGTGTCCTTGCAGTTTTCTCTGGAAAGAAGGGTTCGAGCCCAGCCGATACCTGTGCCAAGTGTCCGTGAAAGCACTTCTCAGCTGGCATCGTGAAAACAACAGTTGGTGGGACGTGCAGTGGAGCGGGAACAGACTGATCTTTTGGTGGAACTGATTTATTCATTTTACAATTTGCCTTTGAGCTGCCATTCATTTCATCAACTGGTGTTGCTGCCATTTACAACATATATATATACATATATATATATATATTATATGTATAGTATATACTGTAAGAATTTGTAAGATCTGTAAGATACCCCGCTACATGTAGGTAAGGCACATTCATGCCATGCCCAGTTTGCGTAGGCCATTGACTGGGGTGATTTTTCACAACATGTTCAATTTTTTCACAATTTCGCTCAAAAAGTCAGATAATAAGTCAGCTTTGGGTTTGCTATACCCATAGGATCCATGTATGGTATATATGCTAACATATGCTAACATTGGGGGTATATTGATGCTAAATGTTACCATATATAGCAGCACCATGGATCCTATGGGATAAGATCCTCTGAATGTCTCTGAATGCCTTAACCTCGCGAACTGCGGTGTGTTTCCCTTTGCAGATCCATGTACAGTTGCCATTTCGGTGGTCCTGCTCCATGAACTTCTGAGAGGTGGATGATACGGAGGGTCAAAGTTATCAACCCCCAAATGAATAGTTGATATTGGTTAATATTGGTTAATATTGGTTGATATTGGTTGATATTGGTTAATATTGATTAATATTGGTAAATACTAAACACGACCCAATCTTGTGGGCTTTTTGACACTCTGATTTTGAGCCATACCAAATAGATATAGGTTCAAGATGTTTCAAGGAGGACCTTGTTGGATTTCCAGTGCACGGGAATCAGCTTTACAGATCTCGTCACTGTTGTAACTCAGGATTATTGCATGCAGTAGTCATTGCAAAGGTTTGAACTTAAACTTTCCCAGCAAACATCATGAACAACACTTTCCACACTTAAATTTCTTCTGTTAGACTTGGTGATTTTGTTCGGTGGTCCAGATGGAAAAACAAACGGATTCCGCAGATCTCAGGTGTTCCTGGAAGAGGATTCGACAATTTGTACAGGGCAGGAAGGAGACCTTGCAAGGAAAAGCTGCCATGGCTGCCATGGAATTTTGACAGAGTATGGTTATAATAAGGAGCTACACAATACAAATTCTCCAGAGTTGTTTTATATTGTTTGATATGGCAATCCAACAGTCAGTGATAAACTTCAAGCGGCAGCTACTTAGGACTTGTACCACATAATAATATGTTAGTGAGTTCAGAATCTTGTGATCAACCCCCTTTACTGTTAACCACATCATTTTGATGGAGTACCCCTCAATCGCCGGACTCTTTGGAGGCTTCGTAATCTCCAAGCACCGCTGAAAAGCGAAGCGTTCACGACCAGCGTTCATTCCCTTAGATACCAAGATGAGAAGAATTCTGACGCCAGGACATGAACCGTGAAATTTGGGCTTTCCAGCCTAGCCTGATATCAGCATTGCACGCGTTGTGTCACCATGGCACGCTTAGTCGCTGCTGTGCCCTGCTCCCAGCTGGCCACCAGACAGCAAGATTCTCTGCAGGCGCAGTGCTGCACAGCGCTGTAATCCAGGATGAAGTTGAAGCACGAGGGACGATTTACCAATTGAAATGCTAGATTTCTATAGATTTCTTTGGGTGATCATTGGTTCCTGACCTTCGGTGCAGGCCATTGTGAACAAGCACGTCCAGGATCCAGCTTGGAGGACCCAGTACTTGCTCAAGCCCTGTTGGGAAACATGTAGTCTCTACCAACCCGGAGAAAGCACGCAGATGCTTGTGAGAAAAATGTAGCGGTGGCGGTGGCGGTAGATCCGCGCTAGATCTGCACTAGCACAAGCTTCGCAGAAGAGACCATGCCCCATTTCGATGCTTCATGATGCTTTCATTTTGTAACCGAAATATAGTTCAAAAAGATGGAGATGCATACAGAGAAAGAGAGAGAGAGAGAGATAAGGAGAAAAAGAAGAAGAAGAAGAAGCAGAAGCACCCGTCTCCAGAAAGGCAATGCTGAAAGTAGCTCTAGCTTTTCCAGCATTTAGGCAGGGAAAACAGAATACGGGTAGTTTATTTTTCAATTTATGGCACAAGAAGAGCGATTCAAATCAGAAACATATATACAGTATATACAATTATATACATATTATATAATATCATCCCATGGAACGGTAATGAAAGGACTACTGTAAATGTCAATATGCCAAATTCATGTCCAGGCAGAGGACAAAAGTGTTCTCAGCTACGTGACTTGGGTGTAGGTCAAACATGGGATACCACATAGACCCACAAAAGGTTTGCCATTTTCAAGGTCTGACATGTTGTCTCAAACTTGGGTATCCTCAAAATTCCTCGAATCCCATGGTTTTTGGAGGCTAAATCCCACATTTTGGCCCAGACCCCCATGACACTTGGGACTCAGGCTTTGAGGGAGCTCAACTCCTCTCAAACTTCCACAGAGAGGGGTGTGCAGCGATGGGAGCAGGCAAATTCACTTTGGTCAGATAGTAGAGGGAAGGCCGCTATGCAATGCTATACACCTGTGTATCTAGTATATCGCATGCAGGATTGTTGTGTGAAGATTTGGGTGTTCTCCAACCACAACTCTGGTTCCTGGAATCCGGCTCAAGCGCACGGACTTTTTAAGCTTTCAATATTCCCAAAAGGATCCAAAAGGCCCACAGACAGCGGCAGGCACATCTCGTTTCAGCCCTGGATGTCATCAACGAATACCAGCGATCCCGTCGTGCACGAGTTTTCAGCTCACTGGCCGTGGCCTCAGGGCCTTGGGGTCATGATCATGTGGATCCGTAGAATCACACAGTAAGACTGCACAACTTCAGTCAGAGTTGTGTCAGGGAGACTTTGGGCCTTCCTTTCGACGTTCCTACAAGAACGACCCCAGGACTTGGTATTCGGGAGCTGTTGGGATGGCAGCCACATTGGGGATCAAACAGGGGTACCTGTTTGGACCCACAAAAGACTGGTCATTTTTTTGGGTCGATTTTCTCGAGCCATGGAATCCCCCTGGGATTCTGACAGGATCTGACAGTCTCAGCATATACCCTCTGGTAAACTAACATAACTATATACTATTGGAAAACCACCATTTATGGGGGAGTAAATCAACTATAATCAACTATAAATGGCAATTTTCAATAGCTATTTTACCAGAGGGTATTTAGATGTATTTAGTGTTTCCTTTTGGAAAAAATTGAGAGTGATGCTCTATGACAGCCATGTAATAGATGATCTTCCTATAGAAGCAATGACCCCATGTTGTCCTGTGTTGGCAGAGAGTTGATTCATATCCAATGGAGATACTTGGGTATCGAAGCCAATTGTGTCATGTCTTTTTTGGGGGATGAACATCCAGAATTTCCAGTTATTTTGAGGTTCACTGAAGGGTATCAAACTGATCACCACTAGCTATAACCAGTTGTTTGGAAGCTCCAAGATCTTGGCGAAGCTTCAGGACACGCATGTGCGAACTCCTAAAAAGCTGGCTCAGAGCCAATGCTGCTTGCAATTCCTTACCAGAGGAAGAGGTGCGATGTCTCGGAAACGTGGATTTTTTGCCAGCATGGCCTTAAAATGCCATCAAACATTGCGAAAAAACGGTGATTACCCTCCGCAATTTAGCATGTAGCTATGATGGAAAAATCGCCACACATATATTTATAGAAGGTAAATCATCTATAAATGGACAATTTTCATCCATTTTCCGTAGCTTTGTTAAATTACCGGAGGGTAAGCAGTCTGGACCCATTTTTCATGTCGGTTTTCGTCAGCCGCGTCCGTGCGAGGTGCGGTCGATGTGTGGCCTTTGCCGGGACGTTCTCAGCCATCCGCAGCTTTTTCCTGCTGCTTGGCAAGCCTCCAATGGCAGATCCACTGGTTACCTGCAAACTATTGGAAAATCATGAAACTCCCCAGACTCAATGGAGGTTTGTAGCTGGGAAAATCATCGATGAGGGATTTTCACTTAGCCTTGTTTGATTACCGGAGGGCAGAACTTTTCTTTGCCCCATTGTAGCCCAAAGGTAGACGTCATGATTTGGCAAAACGATTTGTATGTGTTTTAGATTTGTTTAGTGTGCAGTGTTTGTTCAACACCTTTGGTAATTAAGCATCCAGTTCAACACCTTTGGTAATTGAGTATCCAGCAGATGATGCTGCCTATGCATTGCCTATGCGTGCTAGATGCTGAAGTGCCTTTAGTGAATGCCGTGCACTGCTTCTGTGACCACGACCACCAGAGGGTTGGACCATGTCACCTCCAAATGCAGCCTGTTCATCGAGGCCAAAAACCCTCAGAGCTTCATGAAGAGCATGGCAGATGCGACTTGGCTCGTGCGTTGCTAGTGACTTAGGGATTGGGTAAAACTTGTGGATTACATCATCTTCGGGTTTCCATTTTTGGATGGTTTATAAATGTTTATAATGGACAATCCTAATCTAAAATGGCTAAAAATTTTTGGATACCCCCCAAAAAAAAATGGTAGAAGGGGGAAGCTAGGACAAGACAGGTTGTAGGTCAGGTGGGAGGCTGTTATGTTTTTGTTCAATCTTGTAATCTGAAATGTTTGACTGTTTCTTTTTGGTTATATATATATTTCTATATATATATAAATGTTTTAGGTTGTTGTAATAATGTTTGGTTTCAATGAGGGTAGGTTTTGTTGAGGGTGTTTTGCCTGTTATGTTTTTTTTTTTAATGTTCTTGTTCAATGTTTCTTCCTTCCCTTTGATGTTTTATGTGTTTTATGTTCTGTTTTTTTTTGTCGCTAACTTTTCTGGGGCTTTCTGTTTGAATGTGGTTAGGATTTGTTGAGGTTGTTGTGATTTAACCATCTGGATATGAGGGAAATGTTGCGTTAAGGTAGTCTATCATTTCTTGGTGTTTGATTCGTTTGATTTCTTCATCAGTTTTCTTTTGTTGTTCTATTTGTTTTGGGTTAGGTTTGTTCAAGTGTTTTTTTATGTCGTTGGGTTCTTTCGTGTCTTAACATTTTGTTTCTTGAAATCTCAATTTTACAAATGGGACATTCAACCTTTTCTTTCTGTTTCTCAAGTTTTTGTCGTTTGCATTGTTCATAGCGTTCCCGCTCTTTTTGTCTTAATTCTTCTCGGTGATTTTCTCTATAATGCTGTTTATACTCACAACATTTTTGACATAATGCCTTTCCATTAGCAAAGTTTTCTAGAGTTTGCGTCTTTTTACATTTTGAACATTTCCTACCTTTATGTTCGTTCATTAAAGTGTTCTGGGACTATATCTTCAAATGGGTTTCTGGGTCTCAAAGATTACTTCATAATATGTTTAATCGGAAGTTCCACTGTTTCATGACTTTGGCAGAGACTCAATGTCCTTCAAACTCTTCTTGCACATCATCATGCTAGTATATATACCAGCACCATGGATCCTATGGGTTTTAGAAAACCTCCCTATTTGGGTGGCTATGGTCCAAGGTCTATGACCACCTGCAGTGGCAGCTCCAAGAGGTCCTGGAGAAAGACCGCAGTTGTGCGGAGCTTGTCCGGGCCTTGGTTCACGCACAACGAAAGGTTGGGTCAAAAGCTACCTGTTTAGATACCATAGAGGGGGATGAACATCCATAAAATCTAGTAAAATCTAATAAAATCCGTAAATCCCAGCTATAGATGTTCATTGGGCTCCAGGGGTTTGATTCACAGCTGGAAAGATGACAAAAACCAGATGGAAAAGACATGAAAAGACACAAAAGAACATGGCAAAAACTAAAGACTGAAGAAAATTGTTGTACAACCAAGAAATTTGCTAGTGTTATAGATGCATGGCTTTGGGGTCAAAATCTGCCTTTAAGGTCAGACCGGTACTGATATATCTTTGGGAGTCTATAAGGGGTTGCAGTCACTTGCAGCTGGTGATCCTTACCTATCAACGGTTTTTGTTGACTTGTGTTCAGTCCCTCTTCGGAGGAAGATGAACTATATACTATATATCACTATACTTCAATATATATATATACACGTATATTATGTTGACCAAAAGCTTAGACCATATCTGCTAACCAAATGGGGTTGGTCACTTGAAATTGTGTTACTGGTGTCAGATTACTGGTGTCAGATTCCGTTTGCATTGCAGACTGACATTGCAAAGTCTTGTGGCCAAACAAAACCGGAAGAACGCAACAAATAGAAGACAATGCTGCCAGCTCCAAACTATCATAGATTCATTTGTCATGCACCCAAGGAGTATACACCCTTAGCACACATCGAGAGGATCAGTTGGTCGTTACTGGAGCACCCAGAAGTCGTCCATTGGTTTTCTTGTTTGGGTTCACCAACAGAAAAGCTGTGGCGCTAGTTGTACCAACCCATCCACATCATCCAGGCGCAGCGGATCTTGTCCATGAGCCGGAACTTGGTGACGGACACGATCACCTATTTGTTGTTTGGAGCTCAATGCCAGCCACGTAGCGGTGAAGCTCGAAAAAGAGCCACCTGCCAGGTTGTGAGAAAAATTGGGTTTTGGTGATTTGATGTGATTTTGGATGATGTCCCAGGTTCAATCATGTTCCGAAGCCGGATCGATTTGTAGATCTACTGTACTTGTTGGGGGATGAAATCGTTTCTGCCCGGTGAAATCGCTAATGTGGATGGTTCCTACCTTGCCAAGTCTCGACTTGCCAAGGCTGGGTCCCAGTGATCTCAAAGACACTGATGCGCGGGCCTAAGTGGTTGGGATGCCTGTGCTATGCCCTTTGCCTCTGGAAGGCTGTAAGCACAACTGTTTCAAAAGTTGAAATCTGTTGGACTGGTGAGATTTGTGAGAATAGTGATCATGATGCTGATGAGGGCTTTGCCAGGAGCTGATTTTAGATATTTTTAGAGTATTGCTGCGGTCGTGCTGACAGGGCTTGCCTTCCATGGAGGTGGTGAAACTGTGGCAATCCTTACCAAATGAGGGACATCCAATGTCCCTTGGCTTGACTGCCAGTGACTCTGCAGGAAATCACTGAAGAAGGGGTTTTTGGGATGGTTTTTTTGTATCCTGTGATTCCTATGGTCTTTGGGGTATTCTATTGTTGTCTAATTGTCTATGATGATGTGTAATTTGTTGTCCCCAAAAAGCTACAGGGCTCACCAAGGCACCAAGCCCAGCTGGCAGGCCTCACCGCAAAGATCCAGCATTACAGAAGCTGATGGGCGAGGCAGGGAAGAGAGACTCGGGAGGTGGCTGGGGATGGATCGGAATGGAGAGAACAAAGGGGTTTGCCCTCTGGTAAACTAACATAGCTATTGAAAATGACCATTTATAGTGGATTTACCCATTAAAAATGGTGATTCTCAATAGTTATGTTAGTTTACCAGAGGGTACAAGGAGTGATCTGATTATGGTGCAATACAATATCAGATGATATGCTAGTCAGCTAGTCCTTGCCGGTACGGATTTGGCAATTCTGGCTATGATTGCCAATTTATTTCACACGATCGATTTGCTGTTTGAATCTAGTCATGTGCCATGTGCCCGCAGGTCAGTTCACGCCACAGTAGTGCAGTAGTTACACTGATTTTCATATCCCAAAGTCAACATGTGTCCATATTGTTCCATATTTTTCCCATAGCTGGCCATTTTGAGGTCCTTCACTCATTCTCATCCATTCTCTGGGAGAGGAGGAAACCAGTCAACCCCATGAGGCTTGGCAGAGCCACGTGGGGATGTTAGTTGCTGCCTTGCTCCGCGCACCATGGCTACTTGGACGCCATTGAGATATGGGTCTGTCATGGTCTGTCATGGTCTGTCTGAAAATGGTGTATTCCCCCAAATGGGTTACATCTGTAGGGGTACCCTATTTTCAGACAAACCCATATTTGCTAGAAATCCGCTGGTTAGGAACTAGACAGCAATTGTCCTAGAGCCCAAAGTGATTCTATCTTGCTTCAAGTTTTGAAGAGCACTTAAGGCTCGGCATGGAACGTGCTTTGCTTTGTTGGCAACTTCAAAGTGGTTTCCTTTTACCCAAGATGGGTATGGGTCAATACCTATAGATACATTACTATAGTGGGTTATTCACATCCATTTTAACCCAGCTATGACTTGGGTTTCACCGCACGGTACCAGGGTTTTGACCCATCCCAAGATGATCTTCTCCAGCTGGCTGAAGCTGAGGTGTGTGCGATTGTTTGCTGGAGCCGATGCTGAAAGCAGCACCCGACTGCTGGCGTTGGAAGATGGAAAGGCGCGCCTTTTTCGGTGTTTGGGTGGGTGGCATCTCCTGTCGGTGGCTTCATGAGAGGATTTTGTTGACCATAAAATCATATAAAATCCATGGGGATTTTGACAGGATTTTGACCACTAAAAAGTGATGGGGATTTTGACCACTTTTTTTAGTGGAACTTTTTTTTGATGTGGGGGGAATGCTTAAAATAAACCCCAACACGTCCCAAAACTGGGTTGTCAGATGATGAGCATTTTGACTCCACCTTGGACACATTCGGGATGTTGCTAGGATTTTCAGCTGCCCTCCCTTCAGAGCCTTCTGAAAGAGGTGGGAACTCGGGAGTGCCATGCATTGCTGGTGATGCTTGGCGTTCTTTTATGTTGGAGAGGGTTTCCTGGAACAAACATTCACCACAGTGGACCAGGCAGCATTTCTGATCTGTGTCTCCGCTTCAGGATCCTGAAGATCCTGAAGTCTTAGACCTCAAATCAAATCATGATATATTAACATGTGGCATGTTTTATCGCAATGTAGCAGCTGGCAGAGAGTTTGCTCTGTTTCGGGATTCTCCAGATGTTGAACGTTGCTTCTGCATTAGCGAAGTCCAATGGACATTTCGATGTTCAAGTCCCGCACTTGACCGGATCTATAGTGGTGCAAGATGCGCGTGAAAATGCTATGGGTTGGATTGTTGGTGCAAAACTGTTTGCTGGGCAGTCTCTATTTTCCGATGTTTCCTGGATCGACCTGGGAGATCCTGGGAGGACAATCCCAATGATTCCTCTCCAGGCTGAGCGATGTTTCGATGCCGGCTACTTCAAGGCGACACATCTTTGGGGGACGGTAGTTTCTGGTTGCTATAGCAATTGTAATCGGGTCAAGTTATCGGACGTTGGGATATGGTCCATTAGAGTCCATATCCCCACTGTATCCCCTAATGATTGGTAGAAACCCGGTATGATCATGCTAGTGATTGCTGATTCTATATCCGATTCATGGATCGAAATGGGCCAGGAGTGGTGTTTTTCGGAAAGTGGACAAAATTATGAAAAAATGCCCTGCAGGGAAGTGGCTTGGTTGGTGCCTTGCGACAAGATGAGAAGCAACGGAGCAGCTGGATCCAGGCGAACTGCTGACGCTTGTCATTCGATTTCTCAGCATATTTTTTGGATATTTAAGGAATGTTAAGGAGATATAAGGATATTATAGGATATTAAGGTCAAGAAACATGTTTGATATCATTTTAGCATATGTTAGCACAGTCCATCCTGTTTGTGGAAGATGTCTTTTTGGTAAAGAGACAGCGGGATTTCAGAGAGATTGTTTGCATCGAACGAAGCGCAGGCTTTGATCATCACCTCAGACATCATGTATCTTTTGGGTGAGGCCCGGGGGTCGGTTTCCTTCCCTTTCGAAGCATTGACAACGTGTACAGACATCTCACAAGCTTGCCATTGAATGTACTCGATCCTATCATGTTTGCAGTACTAACTATACTAACATCTATAATTAATTCTAATTATAAATATAAGATCGATACAATAACTACATATATATTGCATAGCGACAGAGATGCGGATCTAAAGCTAACACTGGGATGACATCCATCTCTCCATATCTCTCCGAGGTCATGGTGCAATTCCACCGCATCAGTGATGGCCTGGGAGACTTCGGGATGATCCGTGTCTCCCCCTGGTTGCATCCTGTGCTGGACTCCTTGGTGGAGAAAGTTCTGAGTCCCTCAGCCGAAAAAACGTGGTGCCACCGTGGTGCCTGGAAGCTTTTTTGCACGTCTCCGACGTGGCTTGTGTGATGTGGTTAACGTCAATTCTCCAATGCCTGGAAGATTGACATTTTTGCAGTGTATACAGATGATGGTGGTGGAATGTGGTACTGTAGCATGCTTAGCGGCTTATCGTTCAAATCGTTCGAGTAAAGGATGAAGTGATTTTCTGTAGGTGCATGGGTTTGTCAAGGCTGCGAGCATGTTCTTGTTATAGTAGTGTGGATGTGTAGTCGTTCCAAAATCCGTTCTGCCGTGGTCATTTGGGATTCCTTTGCGAGTCATCAAGTCATGATAAGTCATGCCTAGATTCCGATGCGACAAACATCTTTGAAAACACAGAGGTCTCAAGGGACTGCTCGAATCACTGAACCACTCCCTGGATGCCGCCTATGTTTTGGCACGTGCCCGTGGACAGAAGGCGCTGGTTTTTCGGTGGAGTTCCGGAGCTTGATGGTCGATGGCAGCACTGATGTGAGGACAAGACCTTTTCAAGAGCATATTTCATCTGCAAAGTCCCCTTTTTTCAACTGCAGGTGAACCACCACATCATTCTGCCCTGGCTTCAACTTGCAGTGGTTTTGAAAGAGTAAGGTTAAGGGGGGGTCATTAACTGTGATCAAGCGGGTTGCCACCTGCAGCAACAGGTGTTGAAACCTGCCCCTTCAGAGAAGATGTGTTTCCGCGCCAGTATCTTGTCTACGCGGCAAGTGGTGTGTTGGTGCCCACCTCAACGTCACACTGGGCAAAATGTATGATAAGTAGCCTGTAAGCTGGGGAACGAAGGTGGAACTACCAGCACCAAGCAAAGTTCATGGATTTTCCGGGTCAAACTATTCGCACAGATCCGGACGTTTGCCCGGAGCCTATGTTTTTTCGGTAAAACGACCCGAGTTTTCAAGAGACATCAAGAGACATAACAGACCCCCGCGAAGTCGTGGAAGGGTTCTTGGCGTAAATTTCTGGTTCTCCCGGATCCTGGGTTTTCTCGCAGAAAGCGGCCCTTTTGCACCACTTGTACTTTCCAGAATACAACATAATCATTAGAAGACCTTTATACGTATTGTTTGGAGGGGTGGCAGATTTAGATCCTTCTGTAATGATGGAATTGATTGAACATAGGGCACATCGTGGGAAAAATGCGACATTATGGAACCAATGGTAAAAATGATGGAAAAGTGGAGGGAATCCCTGTGGATGTGGATGAGAGAAGATAGAGAAGTGTTAAAACCGTGGCAAAAACGGAGATTATGTGAGCATGGGCGAACGACTGGTTCTGCGGGAAACTATGAATTGAATAAATTGGCATGATGATTTCAAGTTCAAGCAGAGTTCAAGAAATGCAGGGGCGGGTATCCAAAACTGGAGGCGTGTTTTCCTGGGGCCAAGGAGAAGCCATTCAAAGAGCCTTGCTGGCTGGAAAGGGAAGCCATGCTGACCAATTGCTTCAAGTTGCAGATGAGTTCCTCAGATGCTGATGGGAAGCCGTGAAGAGATGACGTTTAAAGATGTTTAAAGTCTAAAACTGCGCTGCGCCCAACGTGTGCTTGAAACGAAGTTGACAATCATGAGACTTTGGTTTCTCCCCAGCAAAACGAGATGACATATATATATATATACATAGAGGGGTTTCCAATTCCAATCCATGGGGGTACCCCTAAATCATCCATTTATGATAGGATTTTCCATGAAATAAACCATCCAGCATCATCCAGCTTTTGGGGGGGTCCAGTCATGGAACCAGGCCACGGCTAAAGCCCTGCCCGAGGCTGCGTGCCAGGAGTGCACCAGAGCGCCTGCCTCACTTGGCTAAGGGCCTTGGGGATGCTACACTCAGTACCTTGATGAACCTGGCAGTGATGAAAAAAGGGGGGTTCCTAAAATGAAGCTACCCCAAAAATTTATCCCAAATTGCTGATTCTCAATTTGAACACCAATGGTTTGGGGGGCCCATATTTAGGACATCTCCATATTTGTTTTTGTTGACTCGATGTTTCTTTTTATATTCCTTCTTGATAATGATACTTGTAAATGATTATAAGAGAACCTCTGAACTTGTGTTCTGGCTGGTGGATTTAGAATGGTTTTGATTGGATTCTAGATGTTTGATGATATTTGTGTTTTCACCAAGTTTGAATCACCAATGGGTTGAAATCACCAAGCAGAATACGATTGATACATCCTGATGTGTAACCAAGGAGGACCCGGCATTTAAAAAATGATATCGACGTACAAACAAAATGCGATGTTCATTCCCAGCCAAACTGGTCCATGGTGAGATATATGGGAGACTCGCAAATGATTTACCCGTTTTTGTACCCGTAAACGGAGCAGATCTAAGCTCCTTTGACCTGCTCATTGCAGACTTACAGAGCTTGAGTAGGTTGATTCCAAAAGATAGATAAAATTGCACTATATATAAATATTATATAGTGTTGCAATTTTACGATTCTACAATAATAACAATTACAGTCATACAATTTAGAGTAATATACTTATAAGGCCTCTAGGATATGTACAATATTGATGTAATACTGATATCATTGATGTGATATTGATATTGATGGTTGTTCTGAATGGGGTATTATTGATGTGATATACTTGAACTACAGTTGTAATATATATATATATAATATTATGTATATAGTATCAATATTGTTCATGTGTTTTCTTAACATCTCCTTGTTTTCAGAATGTTTGCTGAGGCCTCAGCAGCGTTCTGAGCTCGGAGGAATTTCGAAGGAGTGCCAGCAGGGCGGGTTTTGTTTGGGAGCCATGCAGCAGAATCCACAGATACTCAGAATATCTCAGAATTACTACTCAACCACTCCATACAGATACAGAAGATTGAGTAGTTTGAGTTCATAATTATTTATGTCGATTTATGAAAAAACACCTGCCATCCGTTGTGCTGATATGACCCTGACGTCGTTCAGTGCGACACGGCTGGTCATTGATTCGTGTGGTTCCGCCAGGCATGTGGGTGACGCCTTCCCAGACCTGCCAAAGCTGGGCGATTGCCTGGAGGTGGTGTGGTGGATGTTGCCTTGTTGTTGCAATGTTACTTGGAATCACAGCAAGGTAGTATGTTCAAGAGATATGGTTTGTTGCTAAAGTGTTTCTGATGTGATTTCTAGGGTTCTTGTCAATTATATATATTCTTGTGCATTGTGGGAAAACACAACTTGGGCCACTGTCTGACGCGCCTTCGGGAGGCCCAACGTGGAGTAGATGAGATTCGGGCCATTGAGGCCACGGGTCCAGGATCTGTGAACTGTGAACGTTCACCAGTTTGAACTGGCCATTCTTTGGTGGCTGCTTACAAGCGTGACATGGTGATTTAAGATGACCTATAACCATATCTAACCAATAACGAACTACTCCTGTGGATTAGAGGCGGTGTTTGGGTGAGTTTGGGGTTTACCGCGGTTTTTTTGGGAGTGGGTGGTTTACTGCGTAGCGATGTTCACCAGGGACCAAGAACTTTGGAGAAGAGAAGAACTCCACTGGCCATTCAGGAGATGATGAGCCCCGGGCCCCGGGGTCCGCATCCCCAAAAGTCAGGTGATTTCTGATGGAATGAGTTTTACTGCAAGATTTTTCAGAGGAACTCAGGTGGACTGTTGGATGCAGCCAAGGCTGACCACGAAAATGATTTGGCGTCAAGCAATTGAGCAGTCCAAACAAGCTTTCAAAGTGTAAAGATGTCTGGAAATGTCTGAAAGGTCCTATCCCAAAAAGATCCACGGACCCTAAACTCCTAAACCGTTGAATCCTCCAAACAGACCCTCTGAACATCTCTGAACCAGTGCTCCCTCTGTTGCTACCAGGACGACACTTCCACTCGGACGGCCACCACCGTCTCGGCGATCCAAAGCTTCGCCAGTGAGCGGAGTTGTAGCAGTTGCTGCAGCAACACACTGATCCTCGGTCCACGAGTCGTCAGTAGTGTTCTTTTGGATCTCCTTGGCCAATCATATGACTTTATTGTAAGTGGAACTGGGGGATGTAGGTGGAACTGAAACACATTGAAACACTGTAGCAACTGTAGCAGTATGTAGCAGTCTATAGATGAAGCGTGAGTTTAGTGTATAGATGAAGCCGCAAGCCAAAGCAGCAGGCTTGGCATTCGGAGAGTCAGAGGTGTCACCAGGATTGCACCGGATATGTATAATTATGTATATATATATATATATCATATAATATCATATAGCATTATAGTAGTTTGAGGGATTTATAAAGGTGGGTATAGATGTTTGTTGTGTTTAATCCCATCCCCCTGTATAAACACCATCCAAAAGGTCCGAATATTCGGGGGATCCTGCAATATATGTGCGATTTGGATCGATTTGGTGAAAGTGTGAGCTTGTTTCCCTGCTCCAAATTTTGTTACACTTATCCGCTTGTCATTTATCCATTTGGTATATATATATAATTAATAGATTTATGAACTTATCTTTAGAATAATATATGAATATTCTAGAATTATCATAGTTTTTCATTTGGGACATATAACCATTTCCATACGGGACTGGATCAGATGCTCAGGAATGTTTCGGAGCCTTTAGGTCTTGTGATGAAGTTCGAGGCGCTGTTCCTGTTTGTTCACTGGAATCTGACCGTCACAGTCAGAGCTTTCCCCCATCCCCTCTTGCATCAGCATTCAATCAGCCTACAGGTCTATCGCCTGTTGAACAACACGCGTCACGACTGTCGAAGCATTGAGTTGCGCAGCGGCCAGCTCCTCATCTATGACAAGAATTCTACATCACAGGTGCGGCTGGGACGGGATGATACTGTGCAGCAAGGCAGCAGATTTGCCACTGGAGCTTTATTGAGAGGTTGCGAAAATGCGGTGTTCAGCGGGCAAGCAGAAACTGATGTACCTGACTCAAACTCTTTGGATGTACCTGCTGATGACCGGTTTTGCAACTGATCTTCAAAGAGAGAACCAGACCTGGTGGAGATGTTTTTCTTTCTGTAGATGGACTGCCACCTGCATCAGGTGAAATATGTTGTGCAGATCCCTGATGGTATGGACTGCGGATATTGCAGTGTGCAGAGACCTGTGACATCACATCGTTTCGGGATGCAACTGACTTTGCTTTGACATGCTTTGACCATATCGACATAGTGTAAATGATTCTTATAGTGTAAATGGGATCCCAGCAATCTTGCTCAGAATATGAGCCCTGTTTTCCATAGAGGCCAGTCAATGTGTCAGCAGAAAATTGGCTGGAAAAAGGCCTCCCTGAAGTTGCAGAGAGATTTCAGCAGAAATGCTTAGAGTCAGATAACTGTTGACAAATTCATCTTATACAAGAACAATCTCATTGAAAATTGTAAAGCATAGAAAAGTATCATCAGTGAAAAACTCATCAGTGAGAAACCGCCCCATGAATCATGAAAAGCTGGCCCGACCATATTTCCTCACGCCTCTAAGCCAGCAGGATCGTGTGCTTTTGAAAAGTGATGTGATCTTAGAGATGTCCTTCACCGTGCTGCCAGCCAGTGCAAAGAAAGTGCCTCGGACGACTGCCATGTGGGTCTGTCGGAAACTGGTATACATATGTATACATATGTATACATGACATACATCATTTAACATCCCCCAAATGGCCTTTTTTGATTAACATCAGATTTAGGGGGTATGACTGACCCACTGACCCTGTCAAAAACCCACAGGGACTTTCCGGATGAAAAAACCCACCTTGGTTGATGGAGCCGAAAGACTCTTGCAGCCGATGTGCAGCCGATGTGATGTTGGAGCTAAAATCTGCTGGATTTTAGATGCCTTTATTTAAGGGATGATTCCGTGACTCTACATCCTCCACTTTTTTGAAAAATGCCGAATGCAACTTGTTTTCCAGTATGTCATGGTCGAACTTGATGAAACAAGGGGATGAAGCAAAAAGACTACATCTTTGAATTCATATCCGCAGAAGAAGCAGATGTCTTTTGTGAGGACTGATCTGATCTGATTTGCTGCCAGGTTTCTAGCGCAATTGAGACCTTTGATAGTTTTGAGTTGAGAACTCCAGACGCAAAAGACGTCCATACCTCAATCATCCAAAAAATGCCGGTTCCAGCTTTGCTGCCTGACCCGGATAATGGAATGAGTAGCATTAGCACTGCAACAAGGATTTGCAAGTCTATCAACTTGTTGACTCTTGTTCACTCTTGTTGACTTTTGTTGACTCTTGTTGACTCTTGTTGATTGTATGTTCATCATTTTCTATGCCACGGTCACAGGCATATTGCGTCGCATTCCAGCTCTGTCCACCAGCAGTTGCACTGCAGGAGATTTGGAACCAAGGGGTTCGATAGCGCCGCTGTACAGTACGGATCCCAGTGGAAACCTCCATTGACACTTGATGCGCCATCGATGCTTCTGAGGCTTTATTGTTTATGTCCTGAGCCCCGTTTCCAGTGTACAGTCCTCTAGAGAACTGTGAGATATGGGACACGAACAGACGTTGATAATTACAATGAACAGATGAACAACTGCCAGTTGTAGAGCTCTACTTTTATCTCGTCCCACACTACGTCACTACGTTCTCAAGGACCATGCTTTCTTTGAATTTCCTGTGTGAAGCCACAGATTTAAAAAGGATTTTTGCAGATAGTTCTGATGCTTGACAAATCGAAGCCGGAATTCTCCCTAATCGTCGTGGTACTGTATTTGAAAAGTCGAGCTTAGTATACATCATTATCATCATTTCATGAGTACCACAGCAGCCGACAGTTGCGCTTTGATATGCTTTGATGAGTTGAAAGAACACTTCTTCATCACGCAGGTTCTTGCAAATGATGTAAGTACAGGCTTGCGTCCAGCAACTGGGTATGACGCAGCAAGACTACATGGCATGCCATGGCCATGTCACGAGTACAAGGTATCACGGTATCACCATCAACCTTCAACAGAGATGCAAAGACAACCAGGAATGCGAGAGGAGGTCAAACCAGAATTCACAATGAAAGGAAGCACACAAAGAACGGAATCAAGAAGCATCAATCAAGTCGAAGACTTATTGCCAAAGTCTTTGCGATCATGCAGCATGCTCTGAAATTCTATAGCACCGCCGCTCAGGTTTGCTCATGTTTGCTCCAACAGACCAAGAAATACGAGAAGACAACACAAGAATTGCCGTTATCAGATAGCCATTCCAAGCCCACCAGCAGATTTCATGTCAGGTGGTATGGTTTTACTTTGCCTTCACCATGCTGCTGGTTTTGATATGTTGGATCCTCACTGATTTTCTGTTGTCAAAGCTGCTTAGAAGATCAAAGCCCGCAAGCAGAAACTCACAGGATGATCCCACTCTAGGAAGTCATTCTGCTCCATGAGCTTTTCCTGGTTGCCTTGTTTGTTCCAATCACTAAGAAATCTAAGAATGAGATAAACATCCAAATGCAGCTTGAAACGGCTGCGACTGCTTCAAAAGACCATGGAGTATTATCCTTAAAGATCCTAAAGTAAGAATTGGATGTGTATCATGCTTTGGATTTGGTTGGTGGTGCTGTTTTCTTGCAAGCACATCATCAGCAGGTTTGATGTTTGTCACCTAAAAACAGCATGCCATGTCCACCAAATCGCTTGCGCTGACGTTGGTCCGCCCACGGGTCCTGGAGCTTCGTCAAGTGTTTCAAGATGAGTCTGGAGCCACAGATATTTCATGCAGTGCACATTCTGTGGTGTCTAATTAGAAGACTGATATTTGTATCATAATGTATTATGTTGTATTCTAATGTATTATAATGTTTATAATGTATTATTAGAATGATTTACAATGCATTATAATATATTATAATGATTTACAATGTATTATAATGATTTATAATGTATTATAATGATTTATAATGTATTATAATGATTTATCATGTATTATGATTAATGTATTATACTGATTTATAATGTATTATTATGATTTATAATGTATTATAATGATTTATAATGTATTATAATGATTTATAATGTATTATAATGATTTATAATAATGAATTATAATGTATTGTAATGATTTATAATGGTTTATAACGTGTCTTTGTCCCCTATCATAGCCTATCACTATCACAAATACCTCTTTCGCACTTTATTTTCGGAACGCTATGTCGATCGGAAACATGTCCAAACGCGTTTGGTCTCTGCAAATGTTTGCGCAAGCCTCTGAAAATTCAGATGCTCCGTTTTGGACAAGTTGTTTCAAATGCCTGAAAGTTCTTTCCAACTCAAAGTCTTCTTCTTGCAGCGGAATTGTCGTGCTTGTCATTTGCGGAAAACATCCTTGAGTCATGTGGATTCTACATATTCTACCCTAATAGATGATGTCTGGTCTGATCCGCTGTCCTGTTCATTTGACGTAGTACGCCCCTGAATAAGCAGTATATAATCCTTCATAATTCTTCCATGTTTGTGTATAGTTAATGTGCACAAATGTATCATTTTACACGCCTAACGTATCCAAGTAAGCTTGGAATAATGTGCTGATATGGGCTGGAATCCTGCGAGCCTCAGGCGACTTCGAGCTGGCCAATTGTTGGTGCCTGTGTAGCAGCTGGTTGCCTTGGTGTTGCCGTGGCCCTTAAAGACCAAACCAAATGCAAAGAAGCTCTTCAGGTCCATTTCAGCCCCAAAATTGTATTGAGATGAGTAATATACTGTCCTTTGTTGATTGCATGCTCATTTTCGTGGTGATTGACAGAAAGCATGTTGCCATGGAACGTCAATTTTCAAAGAAATGCGGGGAGTGGTTGCCACTGCTCTGTTTCCCGCAGGCCATACTGTGGGAGCTTACTATGGGAAAAGCACACGATGGATCATATTTGTAAACACTGCTGTTGCTGTTGAAGAATACATTGCCATAATAAACAGGGAGTGTGAATAGAAACCGTGTCCCTTTCAATCCTTTGTAACTTTGCCCCAGTTCATATCCAGGTCATTCCAAGTCACTACAGGTCCAAGTGGAGTATAGCAGTGTCCAGCCACTGGATGGAGAGATGTTCGTCGCAACCTCAGTTGATTCGGGACTGTGTTGCCTAAAGTTTCTTAAACTCTCACATAGCAATGTTCTAGGGATTTCTTGGGACCACTGGTTGGAGCTCATTTCATACACAAAGTATGTTAGTGACTGTTTGTGTTGGTAAAAGCCAAACACAAGGAGTCATCTGGGCGTTTCCAAAAGGGAGGACGCAAGAAACATCAAAATACACGTTGGGCCGGCAAAGAGTCCAACACCTTTCAGGAAAGGAATTCATTGGCTTGATTTCTTAGTTTTTGAACGCACCCATTCATAATTTGCATGATTCGCACAGCCCTGACTTTCTGGATTAGGCATCGCACAGAATCTTTGAGCAAGAGTGAGACAGGATAACCACATACAACATCCACCAACATCATATAGCACCATTTTATCATGTTTTTTAATCTAACTTGTGCCACCTCTGACTATGCGGCCATTTGACACCGACCGTGGTTTCGAGTATCCTTCGCCCATCTCCAGTCGCTCAGAACTGCTCTGGAGCCTTCGAAGCGCTTCAGACTCCGCATGTCATGGGCGTGGAGGGTGTAGGAATCTCAGTTGGTTGTTGTACGGCCGATGAGTTCGGGTTTGATATGGCCAAGTCATGCCAAGTCCAAGTAGCTCCAGGTGCCATATCGTATTGCTGAAAAGGTCCAGCGACACGCAACGCTGGGAGTAAATGCATCATCATGCACAGAATATGGCTGAAGACAGGCTGTATTCATGTTGAACATGGTTGGTATTTTGATATTTGATCTTCGAATACAGCTTCTCATCATTTCTCAGGTGGGAGTTGTCTTGAAGTCCTGCAGTGATACTATCCCCGAAGGGGCGAGGACGGGTGGAAGTGAAACGACCGTTTCGATGGGCAGTGGGCCCAGAAGCGTGGTATAGCATGGTTCATTTTCGTGGGGAATTGTGATTAAATTCTGTGGCTTCAGGGTCTCTGATTTCTTGAGATGGTCGGGTGTGCAGCCACAAGACCATGGTATGATTTGTAATTACACAACTCATTGCCACGTGATTTTGCGGGCTCTCTACTGGGATTCCTGGGACGGTAAGACATGTGAAACCGAAAGCAGGATAGCTTTCCTCCTACGAAAGTTCTTCAATGATGACCGTCGGAAGCCTGAAAGTATGTCAGTATGTCTGAAAATAGGGTATAATTCCCATTCCATCCACTGGTTCATCAATTCCACATGGATCATTGCTCAGTTAATCACCATTTTAATCACTATACAATATATTATTTAATCATTAATGGCATGATAATATATTATAATAACTATTGATTACTAGGATAATCACCAATACTATCATAATATTAATTACCAATTATATTATTTATGCTATAATTATACCATTTTATACTAGTGATATTACTATCAGTAATACCATTTTATACTATTATCACCATTACTATCACCATTACTATCACCATTACTATCACCATTACTATCACCATTACTATCACCATACAATCATCATTTTCACCAAGGCCATGGAGCTTGGCAGAAGCGTTTGGTCTTGGATGAAGAGCGGGCGCTCATCCTGGCGGTCACTTGGTGGATGGAAATGATTCAATGGATTTTCAGGGATTTTCATTGAGGTTAAAAATGAATGTCTACTGGAATTCCGTGGATTTGTTCGGGATTTGTATTTTTATGAATAAACATCTTAACTTGATCAAAAAGGCATTTATGTAGGTTGAAAGGAAGGATTTTACCACAAGAGACACTGCAGAAGGGGATTTAAAAAGTGGGCTGCCACAGCAGTTCTGCCGGCTGCAGGTGCCTCCCGTGGTGGGACTGAATCAGATTGCGGCCTGCACCACTTCCACGGCCGGGGATGGATGGGACAAGATGGCAGTGGTTAGAGGTTTCACATGGCTTCCTATCAAAGCATATGCCAGAAGATGCCAGAAGCAAAAGAGCTGTGAGACGCAGCAGATTCTGATAACCACGAGAGTAGTTTGAAGAAAAATAATACAGGTTTCCAGCAATGCAGCATTGAAATTCACCAAGTTACTCCGGAAAACTCATGGTCTTCCAAGTCAGGTGGCAGCTCTGGCTTTCCTGAAACCCTTTGCCCATGGCTCTCAGATCATTGTGCTTGGAGACCAAGTGTTGAGGGATGGCACCAGCACACCCTTGCCGTTGTGAAGTGAAGGTCGGTAGAACAAATCGCACATCCCATCCAGTTCATGAAGAATGGAATAGGTAAGAAGTGTTTCCTGTGGCATGGTGTGATCTTATTGTTCCTTTCAACAGGGATGAGATGTACTCGTGTCAGTATGAGACCTTGATGGCAGTTGGCCAAATTTCATTTAGATAATGTATGTACAGAGTATTGGTATAGGTCAGCTCACCCTGGTACCCTGCTGTTCGCACCAAATTTACTTGTTGTATTGCTGGATGCTCATTCCCGCATTCACATGCGGCTTGTCAGAAAGTGAGAATCATTACCTTGATTTATGCACGTCTCTGAGAAACGACATGATCATTTGACATGGTTTGAAATGGTTTTAAGTTTAAAATGTTATCATGTTTTTCCCTGTGTTTACCCTGTGTTTACCATGTTTTTCCATGTTTTTCCATGTTTTTCCATGTTTTTCCATGTTTTTCCATGTTTTTACCATGTATTTACCATGTTGTAAAAGCATAAACTATAGTTGGGTGTTCCTGGTGCCACGGCCATGCCATTGGGCGCCCTTGTTACGATTTTCACCAGGACGGGGGCCTGCGGAGCCGTGGGCTTGGCAGCCATGCAGCTGGGAGCACTCATGGGACATAAGGCCAGCTGGGATCCAACAGGCTCAACAGAAAAGGTCAGCAAGACCCAGTGGGATCCATCTGGAGCCACATGTGTGATACCACTATGTATAATTATGTATAGAATCTTGATGAATCTTGTAGACTTCTGAAATGTCTGTTGCTGCATGCTTAAAAAGCCCCAGTATCGCGATTCTTTAAGGTTTTGAGCATTCCAGCAGTCTGCTGCAAGTTGATATGCGGTTTTAGTTGGAGAGCCATGGATTGCTGGATGATGGCCCTGTCTTGCACTTTGTACCTGTCATTTGAGCAATGCCAGAAATCTCAGTTTGTCAGCTAATTATGATTGGGACAGCGATACTTTAAGTCACCTCCGAATGTTCTGTTGACACTTACTGTATAATATATAGTGTGTATATATATAGAGAGAGTATAATATATACAGTGTAATATATGATATACATATATATACAGTGTAATATATGATATACATATATATACAGTGTAATATATGATATACATATATATATATATATATGAGCTACAGCCAAAATTAAGGTTAATGGAGAGTAGTATTCGAGACATCTTTTTTTTTTGGAAATTGAGCTGGGGCTTGGAAAACGATAAGACACTCTTCAAAAAAACGATAACATTTGCTTATATACCAAAACCTGAAAAACGATAATACACTGACACTCTTCAAACATGGATGACTTGGAGCTATATACCAAATATTGACCGTGGCCCATATATATGTACATATGTAGTGCAATATTTATGAGATAATGTATTAATACGATTATATACGTACATATATATATATATAATTATATATATATATGTATAGTATTATATATATATGTATAGTATTATATATATATATGTATAGTAACTATTATTGTATATGTTATTTATTTATATATATATACGAGTATGCAACCTGGTTGGTGGTTCCATTCGTTGTTGGTTGTTCCCCGGGGTGATCTTCTCCACCAGCGCAAGCAAGCGCCAGATGGTGGCCTTCGTCCGTGGTCCGGAGCGAGCATCCTGGTTGGCCAAGGAAACGCCAAGCGGCTACCAGAATGATCACATGATACTGATGTATTCTATGCTGATATATCTATAATATGATGATGATGATGATGATGATGATGATGATGATGATGATGATGTACAACTGAGTGGATGCTTACTCATGGTCCATAGATTCAAATCGAATCAGTCTTTGTGCCTTTCAACAAGCGGATCATTTGCCTCAAACTCCTCTCAAATTGTATTGTCCGGGAGCCCAGATGGGATGCATTGTTTTTGGTTTCTGATAGTTGCAACATGTATTCTTGAGTCAAAGACAGCAAACTTCGTTCTTCCATATGCACGCCTTGGAAGTTGTTGAGAAATGCGCTTTGAATTTTGATGGTCTCAATTTTCCATAAATGTCTCTGATTGAAGGCACCTTTAGCTTTGGGCTCTAGAAGGTTCCTATTGCCAGCTACAAACTGCCAGAAGATTCCCAGAAGATTCATAAGATGTCAGTTGGTGAAGCAGATGACTGGGCTGTGGCTGGCACAGATTCACCAGTTCCAAATGGCGGACTCTCTATGGATTTGCTCGCAGCGGCAGTGACGGGCCTTCAGGCGAAGATCGAGCTGCTGGAGGTCAAGATGAAGTCAAATCACCAGGAAGTCATGGACCGCTTGGAACAGATGGAACCCAACCGCCAGGTAAAAGCGCTGCACTTCCTTGAGATGCACAAGATGGGGGCTGACTTCGCAAGCATCATCACTGCCAGCCAGACGATCGCCAAGTTGGATGACATCGTCAAGAACATGAAAGACATGAAGCAAGATAGGACGGATTCAGCTCCAGCCGAGACAGCCTACTTCACAGTTCAGTGGGACTACAATGGCGGCCATCCATACAAATTCTTTTCCAATTACCCCTTGACCTCCACGCCAGGCCAGTTATTGGCAGAAGTGTTTGCTGACATTTGCAATCGAGACCAGGCTGGAATCATTGACAAATGCTTGAGGTGCAAGCCCCTGCTCATTCTGCGCGAAGGAAAGTGCCTGAATCAAAATCCGGAGGCACCCATTCGTGAGCTGGGTGTGAAGGACGGTTCTGAGATTGTGTTGAAATTCGAGTAGAAAGATGTGGCAATGGCTCAAGATATCTAAAACTGATATAATCCGGTCACAATGGATGGTGCAATTCAAAATGCAACCAATCTTGAAGTCAATCTTGTAGGTCCATTGGCACCACGTGTTTCAATCGTTGAGCCATAGCCATGTAGAAAGAAGAGTCTAAATTCACATCGATTTCAATGCATCGGAGAAGAACCTTGAGAAATCATGAAAATCTAGATGCAGCCATGGCACACAAGATGCCGAGTCAGAGGGCGCCCACACTGCCGCTTGGACGTACATTAGATGATATTAGATGTACATACCATGTCATTTCAAACCATGTCCATCCAATTCCATGCATAGCCCCTGGGGACAGCCGCAGTTCGCCCTTGCACAGACAGTCATCCTAGATGTGCATTTGCTGCAGTAACAGAGGAGAAATGTCGACAAAAAAAAGGGCTGGCGGATCGATATCCGGCTAGTGCTTCTTCGAAAATTGGGTAGACCCCAAATCTAATGGTTGATTAATGTTGATTTATCACTGTATTGTTGGTCAAATGGCCAGTCTGGAAGGGAATGCCTAATTTTCTGTTGCCACTTGTTCCATTCAACGACACCTGAAGGTTCACAATGTATTCTCGTCGCATGCGCTAAGGTTGGGAAGAACTTCACCTCAGCAGCTGTGCAGATGACACCACGGCAACATCAAACCTGCTGCACCTTCAGCAACCATTTGACACGCCTGTGCTTTTCTGACTCAGATTCTCTTTGCTCGGTGAATGATAATCCATGGATTATGAATGAGCAGAAATTATGATGCTTAGATTCTTAGATTTTAGATACAAGTTGTAGGGGGAACCCCCGAGAAAAAAAAAAAACAAACTGTAAAAAATCAGACAGCTTTACGGTGCCGCTCGGCTGGTCTTAGCCACTCCTGTTTGGATTTAGCAATTGACAGATCGTTTAGATTTGATCTTCCCTGACCACGGTCAAACAGGAGCTGTCAGATTGTGGCTCTGTGGCAGTCTGGAACCCAGGAATTGAGAGCTAAAAGAAGCCAGCACCAAAGAGAACCCTGGTAGCCAAAGGTAAGCATCCCTTCAAATTTTCAGCGCATTTCTATGTTTGCATGCGGCAAATAGTTGATGAAATACTCTACTATTGAGTACAAATGACAGCTTCTCGGCCAGACAAATTACCAAAGTTGTACTAATATGGGTATGAGTCGGTATGAGTCAGTTTGGATACTTCAATACTTAGATATACTTCCATATACTTACATATTTAATACATGTTAATAGATGTCAATGGAGAAAAAACCTGAAAAAACCTGGTTTTATATGCCCAGCCATGAGGTGGTCGACACAGAAGCTCCAGACTGGGTGAAGTGGAGGCCTTAAGAAACCATTGGAAAGCCCAGAAAGAATAGCCATGAAAGTGGGCTTTTAGTTCCAATATATGGTTACTAAAAAACGGAACATATATCTCATATGGTTACTAAAAAATGGAACATATATCTCATAAACATTCAATAACATTCATAAACCATAGAATTATGCAATTGATATTGACGAATCATGTCCAAGCCAAGCTTTTGCCATGTCGGAGTATGACGTGAGGACTGAACATGCACAAGCGCTTGCAATATCTCGACGCGATCCTGGACGGTCGACAAACGTCCCATGAACCTGTTGCAGAGAGTATTCAGGATATCGGAATTGAATGCAATTGACAATCTGGTTGGTGGTTTGGAACATTTAAATATTTTTCAGAGGGGTTGAAACCACCAAACAGTAATGATTGATAGGTACTATTTTCTCATGCCACTTGCCATGTCAAGAATGGGGTTCATTTAGCTTTGCACTTGAACCCCTGAGGCTAGGATGCTTTGTTTGCAGCAAGGGTGAATCACCTGTGCGGCAACCAAGCCTGACATGGCCAGGATAAACCATGGATTTTAGGGACAACCCAGGTGGTGTTTCAGTTTTCCAGGAAACGTTTTTTGATGTTTGCTCTTTAATTGTGTGAAGATGAGGCATGTACGTCTCTGCTTGTTTGCTTGGACTGTGGCCAGAGCAGGGGTAGAAACAAGGAAAACTCAAGGTGTTTCATTGTCTCTTTACGGGGACAACTTCAGAAGCCTAGAGTTATATAGGTTGGCTTCTGATTGATGACTGACCTTCGTTTGCTGTGTATAGTCTGATGACCTTCTATCAAACTACAGACCTCTCAAACTTACTGATAGCCCCGTTTGCAAGTATACACAAACTCGCGATATACTGATATAATATATATATATATATACATGTACATACACATGATACATCATACCATTGCCCTGCAAGTTTTATTGGTGTGATTTGGTATGATTATGGGCATATCATGGTGGACTGTCCGCCACATTGGCGCAGGATGACGATGATGACGTCGTCGGAGGTGCCGATGGCATGCTGGACGGCATAGGTGGTGAAGTGTGCCACAGCCCAGATGGGGGCAGAGGTCTGCCGCGTCTGCCTTGTTTTTTTTTTTGGAAAGATGCTAAATGATTAAAAAGATTGCTTTCGGATGCCTTGGAATTTATTGTTTGTCAAATGTTCATAATCGGAATATTTCCGAATATGATATATGATATATGTAAGTTTATGTAAGTGTGTGCAGTGTGTACATATTGTTTATTGTTTTTTCAATTCAGAAAACCGGCATATTCATCGTCTGCTCTGAGTCGCCAAGGTTGACTTTGGCGGCTCAACATTTGCTTCGAGTTCGCGCCATCATTGTTAGGCAGCAGCAACTTTCGCTCTCTGGCCGAGAAAATCAAACATGGCAACAGAAAATGTACCATGTAGATTCTGTAGATGATTTATCCATGTTTATCCACTAAAACCCCATTGAGATATGATTTTAAGTTGCCACGTGTGATTATGTCATCCTTGAAGCCAGTAGGATACGAAGCAGTGCATGTGGCAGGTTTGGTGGTGACGAGCAAGGCGACTTGTTTCCTCAAGCGGTGCAGAGACTCCGACTGCAGGTGGGACATGGTGGGATGTGGGATGCAGATATTGGGAGAATGTGGGCTGCCGCATGCTGCCGCCCTGCAAGGTGATGCGGGAGAATGTGGAATCCTTCATGAAAACCAGAGATGTGGTTCAACGAGTCGAGGTTTGGCGCTGAGCTGTACTCATTCTGGCAGTTCTTTGCTTTCTTTTTTAGGTTTTCCTGCGGACTTTGGTAGCGAAGTGAACCATGCTTCCTGTAGAATGGAATGGTTTGCAAATGGTTTCTCTTGACCAGTTCTAGGACCCTCAAGCCCTTGGCATGTCCGTACTTGGTTAGCCATCCAAAGTCTAGCAACCAACCATGGTTGCGATATGTTATGAGCCAATCATGAGCAGGTTTCCGCCATTAAAGGGTGTCTACGGCTTACGGTGTCTACGAACTTTGGGGGTTGCTGTAACAAGTCTGTAACATCTGGCATCATCTGGCACTGCTAGAGGCAGCTTTTGCTTGGATCGGTGACGCAAGGTGCCGTTGGGGAGTGGTCGTGAATTTTGCTGATGATCCAACGTGGTAGTCATGCCTGTGAAGGATTTCCTCACCCAGTGGTTTCAATTTGGAATGAGACGTAATAAAAAAATCTAATCTTTCAATCTTTTCAGAGTGGAGAGGAGACGGTTTTGGAGTTTAACATGTTTAGCAACTACAAGATACAACATATAGAAATATACCGTATGATCTTAATTATATTTAATTATATGATATTGTATTATTACAGCAATACATATGGTGAAACACTCCATTCAGTGGATATATCCAAGCTACCGGCTGACAGACCTGAACTAGGTTCGACCAAGCCGCTGCTTTGATGGGTCCTTACCTGCTAGGTATCGACCAAAGGCTTGGCACGTGGCCAGTTGGTCCGAAGCCGCGGAGTGTATGAAGGACCAACCAACTTGGACCCGTTTCCAGTGACTTGGAGAAAATGTGGCACGGTGGAACCCCAGCAACTAGAAATCAATGATAGTTTTCCACAAAGAAACTTTGGTTATGTAGGGATATGTAGGGATTATCTACTACCATCAAGGAACAACAATGTCTTTCTTCTTGTTCGGGGTTCCGGCAAATCACAGCATATCCATATAATTGGAAATCAGTTGGCGAATCACTTGGTACCTTGAACAGTCCCATTGTGGTAGCCGTAGCCTTGGGAAGCCAAGATGGAGAAGGGTCAAGACATTGGCAACTGCTCCGTTTGGATTTATACAATCCCTTTCCTAACTTGATGACCGGGGTTACAATTTGTCAAATACAGCAGAGGGCCTTTCCTGGGGAGCAGAATTGTTTACAAAGTATTGATAGACTACTGTAGGTGTTCAACTTCAAAGCACTTCCGAAACGTCTCGAGACAGGTTGAAACTCGACCCCACCATGCATGCTGTTTGCGCACAGCAGTGATACAAAACGGCCCATCTGGACGTATTGATTTATCAGCGATGTGTTCGGCATTGTCCTGCTGAGGACACAAGTCAAGCCTGGTCGAATTGGGCGAATCATCTTGAAGTTTGATTGAGGCAAGGCTGAGAAAAGACCGGATACGACGATGGATCTAGGACTTGATCCTTTCCATATCATCGTTCCATATCATCTAGAACATGGTAGGACCATGGACAATCTTTGCGAGGGATGAAGATCCATGAAGATCCATGAAGATCCACTTACAAGCTATCTTCATCTATCTTCTATATCCTGGAGATGTTTACCTTCACCAGGGTACCAGGGTCTTGACCCATAGTTATATATTACATATCTATATAATTTCTGTATATCATATAGGTATTAATTATATTATATATTATTTTATCATATATATATACACATACACTATATCATATATACATTATTATATTACATTGTATTATATTATATTATGTTACATTATATTATCATATTATATCATATTATATCATAGTATATTATATTATGTTATATTATATCATATGATATCATATTATATTATATATAGAGACTAATTAAACTATCAATCCCCATGAACAAATTGGAGGAAACCACATCCTGGTCGCATGGCCATCGAGCAGGACTACTCGGCGCCAGCAGGGCACACTCCCAAAGGTGGAGTGCAGCGTTAATGCCAGGGGCACAGGGTGAATGCTCGGTGATTTTTTCTTTGAGGTGCAGGAACTTCCAAGAAGTTGCCTTTATATTGTGAAACTGATAAGGAAGCCAGACAAAGACTGTCCACGTGTTTTTTGGTATGGACCGGTTGCAAAAAAAAAAACAGCATGCCCTTCAGATTCTTTGCTCCAGACCTCTTTGCTGCGGGAATCTCAAATGAGATGCCCATTTGCAGAGCGGAATGTTAATCCAGGTCCAGGTGTTAACGCGGTGAAGTGGAATCAAAACCTGGTGTTTGGTGAGTTTGGCGAGAAGCGTTTGACACACTTCAAACAGAGAATCCAACCCGCAATAGCAGTTTATGGTCATTGATAAACTTGAAGATTCCACAAGAGTTGCAAGATTCCACAAGAGTTGCGTCCAACCAACCAAGACAGAGTTCTATTTCAATGACGAGGCTTGGCATGTGGCACCCTGCGTTGGAAGCAGACCTCCAGCCCGGGCTCAAGACTGGCCACAGTCCAAACTGATATCAACTGAAGAAAACATTGGCAGAACATGGGCAGGAACTGAAAATCATGATAATTAATATAGGCTCTATTTGGCTCTCTTTGAGCCAAAGTTTATTGAGCACTTTCTTGGTATGGATCAGGAACGATGTCTGGCCAAGCACCACCCATGCCATGGCACTGTACCGACGTGCTGGTCTGCCTGCACTGGCAGCATGGGAGGCCCGGCAATTTGGGCATCTCTTGAACGAGAAAAGGCCCAAACCCCCAAACCCACGAGGGATGGTTCTTGCTGGCCTCCAAGTTTGACCGAGATTGACAATGATGGACCCAAAGTGGCAAAAACTGCACTCACAATTGGACCCATCATGACAGTATAGATAGTGATAGATAGCGTATGTCGATGGGATACTACACTATGTGTGTATATATATATATATACATATATACATATATAATATACTGCCGCAAACTTTACATCAAAAGCTGCAAGACCTTGGATCACCGATCAGGCCGTGTTGCCAACGAACCAGGCAACGTGCCCGGGAGGGGATTTCCTTGTCCAGGCCTCCCAGTTTGAGAGAAAAGGAATGTTCATGTACTTGTACTTGCAACCAATAGAAACTACGTAGAAAACATGTAGAAGATGCAGAGAGGTCATTGAAAGGCACTGGCTGCCCAAAGGAGTAATTCCCGAGTTCCGCTTCTAAAAGAAATACCTCACGCTGTAGCTGCCATAGCCGTTTAACTTTGACAAAGATGGTCAAATTGCCCACAGGCTTGGGGCCAAACTTGCTTCTTTTGTGAGTTGCTGGCGTTTTACGTTCTCATCATCCTCTCATCATCCTCCCATCCAGAGTACCACTAACATGCTGATCCCTGGTTCATTCCCCCAGTGCATCCTCTCGTCAGAAGACCCAGCTGCTGACGCGAGCCTGCCGATCTGTATTTGGATTCAGTCAGAATCCGTGTGAGAGCCTAGAACCGCTAGGACCGATGGCCCCATGATTGTTCAATATTGTTCAGTGCTTCTGAAGCAAGCGAACCAAGACTTGGTTCTGGAGGCTTACTCTTCTCGAGATTGCGCAAAGCACAAATGTTAAATGATCGCAAAACAAGAGAAAAGGACATATTAGGACCAGATATTACAGTATATTCCCTTGTTTCTTGAAACAAATGTGCAGAATGGGCATGAGCAACAAAATCACATAAATCACCTTGACAATTTTGACTGCTGAACTCAGCTCCTTGAGCACCGGAGTAAAGCCCACGCATCACAACGGTGGGGAACAGACCTTTGAAATCCCATGCGGCGTTCACTCCAATTTGAGGCATCGTTTGGTGTAATGTCGATCCAAGATTCATATTATGCACCTTGGTTTATCAATAGCGGGGTACCATTTCGAATAGTGATTCATCACCACTTTCCTGAGTATCCCCGGGTCCCCTCAAATGGTCCAGCAGGGTCCATCGCAGCTATAAGGTCCTTCTGGGTTGGAGCAAGAGAGCAAGCAGGGAATCCAAAGGGCCTACTGATGCTACTATCCCACTGGCATCCAATGCCTCCACTGTACGTTTAACTTGTTTCTTTGTCTCTGGACGGATCGTCTTGAGTCTTCAGTGATACTTGCTCGGTTTTTCCACGCGAGACCCTGAGAGATCTTTGTTGTCTTGCGGTGCAAATGTGAGAGAGTCACTTTGTAGATGTAAGATGTAAGATGATGTAAGATGATATGTATTGTATCATATGAAGTGCACCGAGGCCAGGACAGTTTTGGATCGCTTTGCCCTTCAAGTCTTTTGGTTCCATACTTCCAGGCTGGTTTTCAAGCGGTGTTCCTGCCAGATGCTTTGCAATGCTTTGCTAGTTTGCTGTGGTGCAGGCTATCCATCTCCGATGCTGTTACAAAGTTCCCCAACGCCGGAGCTGAATTTTGGGTCCAGCGCAGGTGGTTCAAAGTGACCATTTTACATCTGGGAAGAGAAATGATTTGCTGGGGGCATTGGTGGTGCAGACAGTTCTGACTTTATGATGCACACAGAGCTTAAGCAGCGATGATAGAGGCTGTTCAAAGATACATGTTGCTTCGCATATCTTCGCATAAAGTTGTGGTAAGACACGGGCATACCTCTTTGAAATTGGAGCGGTTGTTCCTGTTTGCGTGCTCTTTCTCAGGGGCCCTGAACAAGCTGCGTCAGAACGTGGGATGGACTGGCACTTCGACAAGGCAGAACTGTTGCAAAGAAGAGCAAGAGCATCACTTTGTTTGAAATGACGGGACAATTCAATGAAGGCCAAACCCTTCTTGCCTTTGAAGCCATCAAAACAGCTGGAAGATATGACGAAGTGACTCCATGTTGGTGCTGCAATTCTGGTTTGTCCTTGCCGGATGCGTTTTCTTAGATCATCCTCACATGATGAATGGCGCAGCAGAAGCATCAAGTGCTAAGGATGAAGATCTTCTAGATCAAGCAGATTTGACGGTCATGCCCTGTGTGGGAACTGTGACCTACTTCAGCAGTCACTTGTTCGCAGTTGGTCGTTTGCTTGCGATTGAGAAGTCATTGCGGCTGGCTGATCATCCGCTTACACTATATTGAATGAGTTGAATCTGCAGAAACCTTTGGATTGATTGGTGCGTCAAAATCTGTGATGGTGTTCTTTTCTGTTGGGGGTAAACACATCCATCTATCATCGATGTTTTTTTGTTTTGATAATTGTAGTGGCATTTTTGTGCATTTCCAGCTATTTCCATACTATTTCCATAAGTACTCAACAAGGAATGTGCTTCTCCCAGGTCAAGGGGCGCCCCTGGTGGAAGTCGCCTCAGCTGATCGCGTGATGTCGAGCAAATTTTCTTCGATTCGATGGCTGCCACGGTGAGGTCTTGTCGGAACCACGACTCAATGGTCCACTGGCACTCACAGTAGATGATGAGGCTGCTGGGTGCTGCAGATCTTGAGGACTTTTGAGGACTTTTGACCAGGAAAGCATGACTGCCAGTGGTTGTTTTTGTTTGTCTTCCAAGAACAACGGAGGATGACTGTCACTTGTACTTTTCATCTTGGCAGAGGCTTAGGAGATGACTAGTTGAATCATCGGAACTGACGGAGGTCACTGCATATGCTGTGCAGCCCATGTGCGGTCGCCATGCGCCATGGCCGCGTGGTGAAAAACGATGCACCTCTTAGTGCCATCTTTAGTGCCATCCAATTGAAAGAAATGGACCGGATTGAGCAAAACAATCTTGAAGGGTTGATGTATTATGATGTCTTCAGCAACTTAACATTTCTACTTGTACCCTATTGTACCCAACACAAAGCCACGAATCGCCATGTGAATCATCATCCATCTCTGACCAGTCGGCTTTGTACCACTGTTTTAAAAGGAAGGCAATGCGTCCTACTGCGTCCTCGGTGCAAGGTAGCCTTCGATGGTAGTCTTCTTCATGGCTGTCCAGCACGGTTTGCCCCTAAAGCGGAGAGGCAGCAGACAGGGTGTGTGTTTTGTTGGTCTAGCTTGAGCTGTGTTGAGAAGTTCATGTGCGTTTATTCGCGCACAGATTGGTGTGTGTGTGTGTGTGTGTCCGAAAATGGGGTTTGCTCCCAAATGCCATCAAATGCATTCAAATGCCTGTTTTCATCTATTTTCAACATTTTTTCCCCACATCTTTGTGTGAGGTTCTTGTTTTTCTGTTGTGCACTCCCGTCCGCCGACCAACTGCTTCGTCCGCCGTCCGTCCGCCGTCCGCCCAGCCCGGCCCTCTTTCACACACACAACTTTGTCGCACAACTTAGTCACACACAACTCTTTCACACACACACAAAAAAAAATATTCAATGGCACTTGGTGACATCGACGTCACTTTTGTGTGGCAGGTGTGGCACTTTCTGACATGGACAGTGCTTTTGTGTGGCAAGCGTGGCACTTGCGGCACGTCACTTTTGCGTGGCAGCACTTGATGACAAGGCATGGTACTTTCTGAGATGGAAGGTGCTTTTGTGTGGCAGGCGTGGGCACCGGGCTGGCTCTGGTGGCGGGCTTGGTTGCTGGGACGGTGGTGTTTTGCGTGGCAGGTGTGGCACTTGATGACATCGACGTCACTTTTGTGTGGCAGATGTGGCACTTGTTGCAGACGGTCCGTTTCCATGACGGTCTGCATGGTCTGTCCGGTGACATTTGCTCATGGTGCCAAAACATGCCTTTGCCGCCTTTGCCCACAACCGAGTCCATGGTGTTGGCACGACCCGTTTTGGCACAACTCTTTCGCATCCAAAACTCTTGTCACATACAACTCTTGGTCCTTCACACACAACTCTTTCACACGCAACTCTTCCACATCCGAGACTCTCACACACCTCGCTTTCACAATACAACTTTTCTACATCTTTCCCAGGCAACTCTCACGTGCAACTCTTCACAGACAGTTCTTTTCACCTCCCATCTTTCACACCTAGCTCTTTCACTTCACATACCATGCTCTTTCACACACACACACACATCTCTGTCACCCCCAACGCTTTCACAGACAACTCTTGCACATGCACCTCTTCCCCAGGCAACTCTTCCACATGCACCTCTTTCACACGCCAAATCTTTCACACGCAACTCTTCCACCAACAGCTCCACACCAGATCTTGCACATACAAATTCTCCACCAACAACTCTTTCACGCACATACAACCACCAACAACTCTTTCACATACAACTCTTCAAAACAATCGATTTTGCACCATCTCCTTTGTGTTTCCTGCCTTTCCTGTCCCGCTTCCACCGCCTGTTTGCAAGTCTTGGAAGAAATTGACATGTGGGGTTTTCCGGTCCTTTAATTTTAGCAGGGAAAATGATGATTAACAAATCCATATTGGTTGGCCATGGTTGGCATATGAGATACTTGCTGCAGTGACGCAGGCTGTCGTTGGTGGTGAACCTGTGGTTTGAGCACAAACCATTGGGAGTGAGCAGCACTATGAGCTGGAGAAAACAAAGGCGGCCAATGCCACCAACATTCACCAACGGTAGCAGTTTGCAGTTGTTGAAATGCAGGTGACCAATGACCAATTCTATACGTATATTATATGTTTAATCATTAAGTCATTCTCCTAGCATTCAGGTGTTGTCTCATTACATTCAGGTGCTAAGTTTGGTTTGACTCAGCAGCAAAGCAACTGCATGCATTTTTGATTTTTGCAACACAGTCGTGTTCTGGATTTTGCATTCTACTGTTTGAAAGGCTGAACAAAGTTGCACAATGTAAATGTAATTATCAATCAAATTGATGCTTTTTAGGTTATATTGCATTGGTACTGTGTGTTTGCGCTACGATTCGAATACTTGGATGGTGTTGGCTTGTTTGCAATTGGTATTGCCAGCCTCAAACCACAAAACTTGCAAATCATGACGCTTATCACGCAACATAAGCCGATAGAAAGATCAACTGACATGGTTTTCATGACCAAACAATGCTGATCTTTCTATCGGTTTATGTTGCGTGATAAGCATCATGATTTGCAAGTTTTGCGGTTTGAGGCTGGCAGTACCAATAGCAAACAAACACAATTATCCCAATTGTTGCAAAGACACACAGTGCCAACATATCCGTGGCATCTATTTGATTGAACATTTTCATTTTACATAGTTCACCTGTGTTTAAAAGTTTAACCTTTCAAACAGTAGGAGTGCAAAATCCAAAACATGATTGGGTGCAGTTGCCCTGCTGCAGGCATAACACCTGAAAACAATGAGACAACACCTGAATGCTAGGAAAATGATTTCATTGTTGATTTGTATTAAAATTAGATAATGTACTTGTAGTAACAGCACATTAATTCATGAATTTCACACTGCAGTTGTCCTTTTTCAAGTTGGCAGATTGGCAGGATACACAGCCAAAGAGTCTCTTTCTGCTGTACCAGTAGCATGCTGATGACCTCAGTGTTGCCTGCTGCCGACCCGGTATCCGCCCTGATAGGTTCCACGACAAAGATTGGATGGATCCACAACACGACCTGAGCGAGGACTGGATTCCCCTACCTATTCTGAATACCAAAAAATAGTGTTTCAATACCCCAAAAATAGTGTTTCAATACCCCAAAAATCGTGTTTCAATACCCCAAAAATAGTGTTTCAATACCCCAAAAATAGTGTTTCAATACCCCAAACACAATTTGGGCCTGAATAGTTGTTGATCACTCAGTGTTTCAATACCCCAAAAATTGGCCGGCCACTGTTGAGTCCACGGGCTCCCCACATCACCAGGACTACTTCTTGGCTAAAGAACCTGCAATCTTGGAGCGGCTCGAGGCAAGGAAGACTGCTATTGGGCTGACTTGCTAGTTGGGGAAGAGGCAGAATGGCATCCATGAAGCCAACAAAATGCATCATCTTGAAGCTTCATCTTGATTTTTTAGTTTCAATTTCTTATTCAAGTTCCTTCATCATCACCATGATGATATGTCATGATCATGGATCTTCGATTCTGGATGGAGGTTTCCAAAGTCATAGGGGGTACCCCCAAATCATCCAGTTATTAGACCATGACTTAGTATTGAAACCCCATGGTGATTTGGGGATCCCCCCATTTTAAGAACCCCCTACCATTGATGGTGACACGAGGCCCCTTCAGCCGGTCCAGTCCTGCCGGTGGACTTTGGACCTTGGAATGTGCGGATGCCCATGGGTACTGTAGGACTTTCATCTTTTGCCCCACATGGGGATGTACTTGTACTAACCAGCAACCAGTTGTTTTTTTTGGATGGTACATCATGGTACCTAAGATTGGAAATGAATGAGTGTTTATCTATAGCTCAAGTTGAAGCGTGTTCTTGTTGCTCTCGTTGTTCTTGCTGTCAGTCCTTGTGGTAGGTTTCCTTTTTCCTAGGTTGTTTTCAAATGAATGATCCCCAGCCAGCTTTTCCATGGCACAGATCTCGGGCGTTCACCTGCCAGACATCAGAGACGTCCAGGAGATGCGCCTGCAGTTGGACTATGTACCGGGGATGGTCATCAAACCACTAGGGATATGTACAGCTTTTCCAAGGAATCCCTAATGATGGTGGGATGACCATAGACAGTCACCTCTGGATGAATTGTTTTTGAGGCAGAGGCAGAGGCTGACCATGTTCTGATGAGAGAGACAACCTGTATCCTTGGCAGATCAGGAAAGCAACAGTGCAAGAAGGCATTCGCATGGTTCGGATGATGAGCATCCCCTGTACTGTGCAAGAGTTGCGTGACCATGACACAACATGAGGGCAAAGAGTTTTCGGCCGTTTCCAAACCTGTGAGTAATCATGTCCTCGCTGCGAGTAATCAGATGTGGCCCTTCATTGTTCTGTGCATACAAAATCAGACTACTTGTGTAACAAAGTGCCAAGTTTGAACTGAAACGACTCAAGTATGCTGTATGCTCATCAAGATTTTATACGTTTCAAATTCACACCAGAAAAAGATGTGTGTTTGGCACTCTTTCCCACCATGAATTCACATCGCAGCATCGCCACTTCTTAGAGTGTTTGGTACGAGGACGGATCCAAAATTCTGGCTGTCCAACACGGCAGGGATCAGGCGCTGCAAACTGTGCAACACGTTTATCTCGCAAATCTGAATGTCTTGCCGGTGGATTTCAAATCTAGGATCAACGAAGTTTAACGGAGTTCATGCCGCTGTGTTCCACTACAAAGGCAATCCTTTGTTTTTGAATCAAGTGAGCGTGAAACTTCTTGCTGCTTGCAGTCTGACTTTGACTTGACATGACTTGAGCGCAGGTGAAAGTGCAGTTGCCAGTGATCGAACCCATGAGGCGTGCATCACTGCAGCCGGGCAGGTGTTTTTAGTTATATTTAGTTATATTAGTTATCAATTCTATCGCATACTCGTCGTAAGAATGGTTTTTGTGGCATTGCATCAGAACTAGCAGTGACTAGCGCCAGAGATGTAAGGTGAGCATAGGTGAGCTAGATAATGTTCAATAATTGAAGAAGCAATTGCTTATCATGGATGACATTTGGACTGATGTGACAGCACAGACTTTTCACTCCATTTCATTTCCTGGCTTACCGCCGCCGTTTCAGGCCTAAGCCATACATGGCATGCGTGTCAGGTAAAACGGGGCGCCTGATCTTGCACCTGCTTGTGAGTAGGTTTTGATAGTGGCACCGGAGCCTGAGTCCTTGCAGATCCTCGACCTTGCTTGCTCCCTGCGCATTGCTCCTGGACAACAACTTCGGCTTCTCTACTTGGACTTCGCTGTGGGGGTTCTTGCTGAGACCTACGGTGGCTTCTTCGTGGATTAGCTGAGCTGGCTCGTGTTGCGACCCTTTGCCTAAGGCATCCTGGTCGTGGCCTTTTTCACCATCTTTTTGCATTGGTGCTTGGTCTACAACTTGGACATTCCTGCGGACTGTGCCACGTTCGGGCTTGCACCACTTTTTGCATTGATCTTGGCCTTCAACTTGGACATTCCTGCGGACTGTGCCACGTTTGGGCTCTGCATTAATTTTTGCATCTGCGCTTGGTCTTCGACTTGGACATTCCTGCGGAGTGGGCCACGTTCGGGCTTAGCGCTACACCTTTTCCTTGCCTTTGAGTACGAGACTGTGAACAACCTCTTTTTTTTGGCTTGGTGAGTTATCAAGGAGCTCAACAAGGGCACCAACAACTTCCTTGCCGAGACCTTTGGCCAGATGGCGGAGGATGAAAAGGGATCAAGTTCCTGGTACAAAGTGCCGACATGGAGCGGGAATCCCATGGAGTGGCGTGGATTCAAAAAGGAGATGAGTTGGTGGATGGCATCGCTCGATGCAGAGCAGTGCCGAAAGTACAATGTGGCTGCCAGATGGGCGTTACGCCAATATGGTGTGGTCCGTGCCAGATGCGAGGAGTTCGAGCCAGATGACCTCCTTGGAACATCGGCTGTGATGGAGCCGGACCCCAATACTGGAGATGAACGAGAAGTTCGACCAGCAGATCCATTTGCAGGTTTGAAAAAACTCATGAAAGCCTTAGAAGAAAGTGTTGGAAAGACGGAGCTTGACCGTCGTGGAGAACTACGTCAGCAGTTCTACTTGGACATGAAACGCAATGCAGGTGAGCGGATCAGTGCATACTGCACGAGATTCCGAACGCTCTCCTCTGAGCTGAAGCGAGAAGGAATAGATCTTCCCAAAGGAGAACTTGGTTGGTTCCTCAAGGATCGCATGGACCTTGATCCTTTGAGACGACAGCTTCTGGAAACTGCCTTAGGTGGTGTGGAGGACTACGACATGGTCGAAGCCGAGGCCTTAAGACTGTTTCGAGACCTCCATGTAGCTGACCCTCTACATCGAAAACTACATGATAGGCCACCTTTGTTGCAGAAGTTCCTCCATCATGGTAGCAGTGCAGCCAGTGGGAGGACCTCTATGCCTTCTAGCGGAAGTTCACAGGCATCAACTTTCAGGTCTTTCAGAACGAGTTCAGCGACAAGCAATGCTTCAAGGCCTGGTGGGTTTCAGCGGAATTTTCCACGTCCTGCTCAACGACAAGCTTTGGTTGCAGAAGGGCATGAAGATCCACCAGAAGCTGACGAAGAGGAGCTTGTGCCTGATGAAGATGATCAGGCGAATCATCAGACCTTGGAAGAGGTGCTTCAAGCAGAAGCAGAAGTGCTAGCTGCAGAGATACAGGAACTGGAAGAAGAGGGCTCTATTGAGCCGCAGCTCCTGGAAGAATTGGAGAACGGCGTTGAGGCCGCTGCTGAATCTCTTGTCACGATGAGGGAGGCACGTACGAAGATAGCAGAAGTGCGCAAAGATCGTGGGTTTGGAAAGATTGGCAGTGGCAAAGGTGGTGGAAAGAAAGTTCATGGAAACCAAGTGCCTGGAAAGAAAGCCACCACCAAGTGTTGGGATTGCGGCGAACAAGGGCACTGGGGTGGCGACCCACAGTGCACTCGACCGGGCGCCGGGTTGTTTCGCCCCAAAGGAAAAGGCTCTGCAGCTCAACCAGTTGCAAAGCACGTGAAAGTCGCTGAAGCTCTCAACACAGAGCACGCCATCGAGACAGTTGACAACGTTTCTGCAGAGCATGATGTGATGGTTTGTTCAAGCCTCTCCTTGCACGAGGCCCTTAACTTTGACTCAGGAGCTCAGTCGCGACTTCCTGCGACGTTGCCTTTGGACAAAAGACTGGTAGGAGCTTTGGATAGCGCTTGCAATAGGACATGTGCTGGGGAAGTTTGGATTCAACATTACATCAAGTCATTGGATGGGGCCCCACAATTCATCAAGGACCTCATCATCAGCACTCCAGAGCATGAAGTTTTCAGGTTTGGGAATGGTGGATGTAAAACAAGCAATCGAAGATATCGTATTCCCATGATGATCAGCGAGTCACTGCTTTTGGTTTGGGTTTCAGTTGTGGACGTGCCAAGCCTTGGACTTTTGCTTGGAAGCGATTTTTTAGACGCCGTGAAGGCAGTGATTTCCTTTTCTCGCAAGATGATGCGAGCAGACTTGCTGAGCTCTCCATTGGTCAAACTTCATCAAATTGCTGCAGGTCATTTTGCGCTGCGGCTGGCACCTTCGACTTGGACTTCACCAGGTGCGCACCGTTGGCGCAAAGTTGGCCAAGATGGTGTTGTGGAAGTTCAGATGTCAACACAGTCATGGTTGAAGCAGAAGTTTGACATGCATGGAGTTTCAAACAAACATGAACATGAACATCTTGTCACGGAACAGAGTTTGCAAGCTGCGACTTTTGGTTTGATGGCGGGCAAGACTGATGAAGCCGCTTCGCAATCTATGGCTCACTTGGCTCAAGCAATGAGTCCTTTGCGACGCTCAACATTTAGGACGACACCTTCACCTACCAGATCGGCTTCGAGATCAGTTGAACGGGCGACAACAAAAGCCCATGCAGCAGCAAGAGCCAACCGTGTCAAGATGGAGTCGAATGCTGCTCAGACTGCGCGTCCGCGCAGAATGGCACGTGCGTGGCATGCTCTTATGGTTGCTGCAGCGGCCGTTTCTACGGTACTTGCCAGTGCCGTATCCGAGCGTGTCCACCCTCAACCAGTGGTGCACGCAAGTTATGGGCATGATGGATTCCAAGTGCCTGGCCAAGAAACATGGAAAGCGAGCCCTGGAGGGAGCTGGTTTCAACATGACCAACCTGAACGAGTTCAAGAACTTCGGGCACCGCCTTGGCCTACGCCTGTCCTTCCTGGAGGATCCACTCCTGCCCGGCATGCTAGCCGCCAAGCAGTCAAAGGGCTTGGCATCGCAGTTGAAGCAAGCTGCAGCACAAGAGGCCAAAGCACAGGCCGAGAAAGCAGAGAAAGAGCAAAAGACACAGGAGGCGATCAGATCTTTGATAGGTCCTCGCGGAGGGCTTCCCACCTTGAGGGGAGATTTGGTCAAGCTGGCCGCACTGTTGCATGTGGAAGTCACCGACAAGATGAAGGTCGACGACATCAAGGCACTTTGCCGACCCATCATCAAAGACCTCAAGACCGATGTGAAACCTCAAGGGGACGGTGGCAGCAGCAGCAGCGCACAGCCAGTGACGCCTCAACCAAAATCTATGACGCCTTCACCGCCGACAGCAACTTCCATGGCAGCAGGTTCAAATGCGACCCCTGGCATCGGTCTGGAAGAATTGAAAGGGCTGTTTGCCCAGCAGGACCAGAAGTACCAGACCATGTTGAGTCAGGTGATGCAACACGTTGTGGCCATGCAGTCCAACCAAGTTCAGCATTACAACATGGCCCAACCAGCTATGGAGGTGGAGTTGACGGAGGAGGAGATCAACCAGATCAACCAGGATCACCAATACGAACGTTGGATGGAACGTCAAGAGGCCCAACATGGCGCTTTCAGCAGCCAAAACAACTGGGACCTTCTCAGGCCGGACGAGGAAGAACTCCGGCGACATGGCGATCTGTGAAGACCGCTGACAACTTGGAGAACAACCCATGGAAGGTGCATCATCATGTGAAGCCAGGCCTTTCACAACAAATTGCTCAAGCCTGGGAAAAGCATGAGGCTGACCGCCGATTGACTTCAGCATCTTCCAGGGAGATCTATGAGGCCATGCAGGCCGATTGGAATGGTGATGTCAACAACTTTTTCAACGAGACCTTCCTCACCGCCATTGATTTGTCTCAGCCTCAAGATCGACAGCCTTTTCTTCAAGAGATTTTCACAGCATCGCAGAGGGTGACCAAAGAAGCCCAGCGTAGGGGACACCTGACTGGTGATCCTCTTTCCCTTGAGACTGGATGGGACTTCAGAAAAGCCCTTGACAGGAAGGCTGCATTCAACAAAGTGCGGCGTGAAAAGCCCTACTTCCTGGTCATTGCCTATCCCTGCGGCCCCTGGAGTCCATTGATGAGATTGAGGCCAGCGGCCAACCTGCCAGAAATTCAGGCAGAACACCGGCAGTTGATCCGCTTTGCATTGGACTTAGCAAAGCTTCAACTTCGCCATGGACGCCACTTCATCCTTGAGAATCCGATTGGATCGGCTTCCTGGAGTCTTCCTGAAGTGATCAAGTTTTTGGAGGAGGAAGAAGCAAAGATTGCCAAGTTCGACCAATGCCGATTTGGCCTACGCTCAGAAAAGGGCTTCTTGCACAAGAAAGGCACCCAGATGGCAACAAGCAGCTCTTCGGTGCAAGCACGCCTGGACTTAGTGCGATGCACCAAAGACCACATTCACCAACATGTCATTGGGGGAAAGCACATCACTTCACTTGCTGGTCATTACCCCATACAGCTTGCCAAAGCGATGGTTTCTGCTATGGAGGAGGAATTGATGAAGGAGGGCAAGCAACATGACGTTTTGGTGGGTGAGCAAGATGAGCGTTCTGATGATGGCGAAGATCAACCTGAAGTTCAAGATGTTCCCAGTGAATCTTCAGATGAGGAACCTTCAGCACCAAACAGCAACATGCCAAAGATCTCCGCTGCCATCAGACATGCAGTTCGTAGATTACATGAAAACACAGGGCATCGATCCAATCGTCGATTAGCCCGTGCTCTTATGATTGCCAACGCTCCACCAGATGTTGTACGAGCTGCCGAAGAACATCGTTGTTCCATATGCCAAGAACGAAAAGCCCCAAAGCCACAGAGACCTATGTCACTTCCAGTGCCAAAGGAAATATCTGATCAAGTTCACATTGACTTGCTGGAGGAATGGGATTGCCAAGGTGCCCGATACTACATCGTGCACATGATTGACCATGCAAGCCGTTTTCAGATGGGCCAGGTGCTTCCCAACAAGAGCACTGCATCCGTGGTCAATTTCATCAAGACCCGGTGGCTTCCTGTTTTTGGACCTCCAAGAGTCATGGTGGCTGACCAAGGCAAAGAGTTTGTTTCATGGGAGTTCGAACAACTATGCTCTGAGAACTCCATATTGCTGTGGCATTGTGCTGTTCAAGCCCCTTGGCAAAATGGACTTTGTGAACGTGGAGGTGGCATTTTACGTGCAATCATGGGAGCAATCATCAAGAGCAAGAGTGTGATTGGTCCCCATGAAATGGAAATGGCTCTACAAGAGGCTATCACGGCCTACAACCATGATGTGAATGACCTTGGTGTTTCGCCGTCGCAGGCGGCAGTTGGTCGACAGCCCCGTCTTCAAGGAGACGTTTTGGGCAACTTTGGACAAAGGCTGGCAGAACATGGTTTGGTAGATTCAACTCCAAGCCTGGCAAGACAAGTAGCTATGAGAGAAACTGCAAGAGTTGCCATAGCGCGTTTGCACTTCAGTCGCGGTTTGAGAAAAGCACTGACAAGCAGATCCAGAAACACAACCATCACTGCACCCTTGGAACTTGGATCCATTGTCTACTATTACCGCTTCCAGAAGTACAACAACAAGACAGCCAACCAGAAGAAAAAGCTCTCCCTACGCCGTTGGCATGGGCCAGCACTTCTCATTGCCAATGAGGGGAGCACCAACTGCTATGTGAGCCACAAGGGTCAACTGACTAAATGTGCACGTGAACACGTGCGACTGGCCTCGACTATGGAGCAAATTTCTAGCGAAGTTTGGCGAGATGCGATTGATGAAATCATTGAAGCTGCCATGAGGGATCAACAACCATTGGTTCCACAACAGGCAGCCGAAGAACCACAAATGTCTCAGCCAGATTCTGCAGAGGTTCCACAAGTTCCACATCAACCATTAGCCTTGCCTGACCAGCCAGCAGCTGATCTACCACCTGTTGCAGCACAAGAGTTTGCTCATGCGTTGCAGCCTCAATTTGGTGTTGGATCTTCAGCTATGAGCTTGAGTATGCCCCCGTCTTTGCCAACTTCAGTGGCGTCTTCCCGGAGGGCGAGCAGGGCAATTGGTGAAAGCGCTGGATCGTCTTCCCGGCGCAGTGGATCACCGGTTGGTGACTTGATGGCTAGAGCTAGAGATGGCTCAAAGATGGATGCAATCATTGAACGAGCTCAAGACCTTGAACGACCTGTTCAACCTGGTGGCACGAAACGTGAGGCTGATTTGTCTGTGGAAGAATTAGCTCAGAGCGTGCAACCACCTGAAGAGCTTGGAACGCCCAGAGCTGAAGCTTTGACAGTTGACTGCGATGCTGGAGAGGCTACAAGCATTCATCCACTTCGACAACTTTGGGCGGAAGCTGTAGAAGACTGCAAGAACCCCTCTGACCATTTTGTGGAGGACAGAGGAACCTGGAAGGGTGACTGGCCTTTGCCTTCCCGGTCACAGTGGCAAGCAGTTTCCAAAGTTGGTGGCATGTGGCCTCGAGGTCAACAAGAAGCTATGGCAGTTCAAACAGCCCGCAAAGAATATCGCTGGCGTGAAATTGCAGATGCCAACAAAGCTGCTTTTCGTGAAGCAGCCAAGTCTGGATGGCAAGTGTGGGTTGACAATGAAGCCGTTGAGATCTTGGCCCCTGATGAAGCTCAACGTGTCAGACAGCACTTGCGCTCTATTGGTCAGAGCCATCGCATCCTTGCACCACGCTATGTCTATACCGACAAGCATGATGGCTTGCGAACCAGCGAGAACAACTTGCCTTTGAAACCTTCTGCGAGGTTGGTAGTGCCAGGGTACAAAGATATGACTGCCTACAATTTGAGATTGGACGCACCAACTGGCACACGAACTTCAGTGCACTTGCTGCTGATTTTCACCGCCTCCAAGAAGTGGTACCTGATGTCAGCTGATGTGAAGTCAGCTTTCCTGAAGGGTGAGTTCTTTGCAGAGGGCGAGCGCATCCTTTACATTGAGCGCATCAAGACCTCATCGCCTGATGAGCCAAACCTCCCTTTGAAGGAAGGTGGTTTAGCAAAGCTGCGCAAGGGCATTTTTGGCCTAGCGGATTCACCTCGCCGGTAGTATCTGCGATTGCACCGTGGGCTGACTGCTTTGGGTTGGGAAAGATCTGTAGTAGATCTGTCACTTTGGTATCTTTGGGATGCCAATCACCAAGTGTTGCACGGCATGGTGATTTCACATGTTGATGACCTTTTATTTGGTGGTGATGATTTTGCGAAAAGCCTTTTGATCAAGCTTGGTGAAGAGCTTGGTTATGGAAGCCTGGAAGAAGGGCGCTTCAATTACTGTGGAAAGCTTTTTGAGCAACTCCCTGATGGCACCATCAAGGTTTCTATGAAGGAGTACCACCAAAATTTGCGTCCCATTGTGATTCCCTTGCACCGCCGCAAGAACCCGGCAGCAAAGGTCAGTCCAAGCGAGCAGAAACAGTTGCGAGCTCTCCTGGGAAGCCTACAATGGCTTGTGACACAAGTGAGATTTGATTTAGGTTTTGCTTTGTGCACCCTCCAAGGGGAACAACCAACTGTGGCCACCATGCTGAAGGCCAACAATTTGCTCAAGCGCTTCAAGTCCAACTCTGACTTTACGTTGTGGTTTCGACCTTTGAATTTGGATGGATGTGGACTGATGTGCATCTCCGATGCCTCCCTTGGCAATGTGGAGAAAGATGGCAGTTCTGGAGACAAGCCTTTGGTGAAAGTTTTCAGCCAGTCCGCCTACATCATCCTTTTGGGCGACAAGAACCTGATGGAAGGAAAGACTGGAAAGTTTTGCGTTTTGGATGCCCGGAGCCATAGACTCAGCAGAGTTTGCAGATCAACATTTGGTGCGGAATTGCTTGGTGTTGAAGAGACGCTGGACACCGGCATTTATATCCGTGGTTGTCTTGCAGAAGCATTGGGCTACAAGCTGGACAAGAACAGCCTTGTGGACAAGAGCTATGGCGCGATCCCTGGCGATGACATCACAGAGGTCCCTTTGGCTGTGGTAACCGATGCCAAGGACGTCAACGACAAAACCAATTCGGACACGCCGTCCTATGGTTCCCAGAAAAGCCTTGCTTTCACTGTCAGCTGGATCAGATCTCAATTGAGGTTGCCGAGAACCCAGCTTCAGTGGACAGCCACTGAGAACATGCTGATTGACGCTCTGACGAAGGACATGGATCTGAGTCATTTGCACCGCGTTTTGGAAGCTGGAGAATGGTGTGCGAAATTCACAACCAGATTTGTTAAGGCGAACAAACCTGTGAAAGCCAAAGCCCCTACGGATGAGGTGATGGTTGGAAAGCCACTACATCCAGAAGATCCTCTACTGAGCAGACTGATGTTGCTGAGTGAGCAGCCCGGATGGCATTTGAAGGACAACATTGTCGTCCATGTAGCGCGAAATGCAAAGACATTTAGGTCATGCAAGCCACGATATGATCCAAAGGAGTATAGCCTGCGAAGCTCCTATGGACGTTTTGATAAAACCGATGGCACCACAGAATGGAGACGGCTCGAGCACAGAACGAGCTTTGAAGATCTCCCGTATAGCTATGGTGCTATCGGGCAAACATGTGATGTGCTGATCACCTTTTTCCAAATGCCCCAAACGACATTTCATGATCAAAAGAAGAAGGTATCCCCTGAAGAAGCAATTGCTTATCATGGATGACATTTGGACTGATGTGACAGCACAGACTTTTCACTCCATTTCATTTCCTGGCTTACCGCCGCCGTTTCAGGCCTAAGCCATACATGGCATGCGCGTCAGGTAAAACGGGGCGCCTGATCTTGCACCTGCTTGTGAGTAGGTTTTGATAATAATGTTAGATATGTGTTACAGTCGTTAAAAACATCATTTTGTATCATTGTATCATTTTTTTAGATAGTTAAACCCCGCATGTAAACCCAGATATGTTGATATTTATGGGAGATTTGCAGCCGCCCAGGTTCTCGAAGAATACACGGAGGCTGGCGCTCTAAAATGGGGATACCCTTTGGTACTCGTACTGTAACAGTTTGCTATATCATAACCATTTGTTGATATTTATCTAGGGTATTTCATCGAAGTAAATGACCCATTTTCCATAGCTATGTCAAATGACCCGAGGGATCAATGAGATTTCCGACCCGGCAAAAAAAGTTGAAACTGAAACGAATGATGTGTTGAGCAAACTATCGCATTAAACACAACATAACACAACTGGGATGAAACCTCCTGCTACAGTCAGTGTTGAAAGAGCATCATTCCTAGAAGGCTGATACTGCTGCGGTTACATCCGTCCTTGCGACGGTCTGGCGGAGGCCAAGCCTAAAGCCAGTGTGAAAAACGGGTAACTGCGTTGGTTCAAAGCTGGCACCCTGCTCTCCAGGATATTTCAGATGAAAAAAGTCGGCGATATTTGTAACGTCCACATATATCCACATGCTATTGATCTTAGAACCACCAGAGCTATCAGCAGCTATCATCCACGATTGACAGGGAGCCGGCCTCAACTTCTTTTGGTCACTTTTCAAATTCATTTTAGGGCACATCTTTTTCAGAAGCCTTGATGAGGCAACACTGACCTCGTCACTGCTAATATTGCCATGGACCAGGGTGAAGCTTCCTCGGATGAACGGGTGAGCGTCAACATTTTTCTCCCCAGTGGACAAAGTGTTGCAGTGTCAATTTTGCTGACACAGACATGTGGTGATCTTGGAAAAATAGCTCAGACATCTTTTGGAAGAGGTTTTCTGCGACTCTTGTCTGCTGATGGCCAATTCCTACATCCCGATGATTCACTTCAAAGTGCGGGCCTAGAAGATGGAAGCAACGTGACTGCTGTGGCACAAATTCCCAGGCTTGTTGCCACCCAGCTGGCATTTGCAATTTGGACTTATGGTGGCCCGGCCGTTGCCTGGGGCGATCCAGAAGCTGGCGGCGACTGCGATACGCATGGCAAACGGGTGAGGTCTGTCCAAGAACTCGTGGCCGCGGAGTATGCCATTGCTGCCATGCTAACCAATGGGCACGTTGTTTCTGGGGGTGATCCTGGCAGTAACTTGGCTCAAAATGCAAACAATAATAGCAATGATGGATGTTGATAGTTCATGGATGTTCAGGTTTTTATGACTTGTCCCCGGAGTGGCTCGGGATGTAGTATTCTCTTGTATCCAGATGACACGCCATCATATGCCATCATCTTTGTTTTTGCTGCTTTATTTCAATGATTTTCGACTACCTCAACATTATTTCAACATTCAGTACGTATAGAAATTTGGACTGGCTACCATCCACATTTTCCACTTGAAACTGGTTCCAGCGGAAGAAATCCACAGCTTTCCTTTTGTCAGAACATTTCAGTACCAAGGTGGTGGCTATGTTTGGGATTCGCGTCTGCGAGACGTAAAGGAGCTGGTAGCTGCGGATGATGCCTTTGCCGCTCTGAGGGCCGATGGATCAGTGGTAACCTTCGGAGATGCTTCGGTGGATTGTCGCTGGGACAAAACTTTCTGGACATTTTATGATGAAAAAACGATGGAAAACGAGGGAACACTGGGAAACCTTGGACAACATGGAAACTGATGATGTTGGTGCCTTTCTGAATTGGAAGCATGAAAACGATGAGATGTTGATAATTAATGATAATTATATATATTATATATAATAATTAGTAATAATTAGTCGATGAGTCTGATGATGCAAAATAGTTGGGTACTTTCTTGTTGGAAGAAGCATTTTTCCTGGGGGTTGGTGAAGTTCCATGTTCACAGGGATCCTTGGAATGAATCATTCACCGCTCGGCTAAGGCAGTAGTTTGCAAGAGAAGTTGAAAGGCGTGGTGAAACTTGCCGCGTCTTGCGCAGCATTTGCTGCTATCCTTTCCACTGGTGGCGTGGTGACCTGGGGCAAGGCCGATTTTGGAGGAAACTCCAGCCAGGTCCAGGATCAACTTCGGTACGCATTCATTTGCAGAGATGATTTTCTACAGTTTTCTTTCTTGAAGGATCCCGAAGGTTGCTATTTGTTTACTTGATGTGACACTTTATGCTTGGCGTAGCACTGACCCAAGAAGGACACTTCTTGCTGCAAGCCTACTGTAGTAATTATGTGATCAATTATATAGTTGCCCAGACACTCTTTCGATGCTGCTCTAATTGAGCAGCTTCAAAAACCCCCAGGAAAGGATTTATTCAAATTCTTAACTCTGCTGCGTTCGCGAAAGTCAACATGCAGGCCGCGAAAGGGTCGCGACAGGGTCGCGAAAGTAGCCACAAAAGTCAATTGCCGCGAAAGCTCCGCGAAAGCTGAAAAGAAAGCAGGTGCCCTCGCGAAAGCCAAAACGCAGGCCACGAAACAGGCGCGAAAGTAGCCGCGAAAGAGACTTGAGAGTCAACAGGAAAGCCAATAGGGTTTTTGAAACTGCTCAATTGGGTTCTGCTGAGGCATGATATTGATCCATTTGGAGGATTGTCAGATTGTCGATAACTTGAGGTCATTTTCTCAAAGATGATAGGACCATATGACGTTTGTCTGGTCGCTGGCTGTCTGGAAGTGATCTGGGTGTGTCTGAAAATGGTGAGTTTACCCCAAATCGCCCTCTAAGCATCACATGTGGAGGGTTTCCTCTAACTTTCCGACAAACCCAAATGGGGGGTTCTTCACATGTGTCTCAGTACTGAAAAATGCTCATCGATGACTGGGATGATGCAACAACCCCCAAGACTTAACTGCCTAACATTCAAACTTGGAGGCTTTCCCCCAACTTTCGGACATTTTCAGACAACCCCAAATAATTCTGAGGAACGTGAAGGAGATAGTCGGGAAGATCCGCAACTCTGCCTTCACGGCTCTGGGAGAGGATGGGCAAGTGCTGGCCACCTGGGGGTCTTCAAGGTTCGCAACCTGGTCATGTCATGGTAAGCAAAGTTGGCAACGGAAAATCCCCCATCGCAAAGTCATTTCTAAAAGTGATTTGTCATGACTTCCCCAGTCAAAATAGACTTTCCGAAACCAATTTCTTCGGTGCAACATGCTTTCGAGGTGTTGTTGCTGCTGTTGCATGTTCTTTAAAATGTGAAAAGTCCAAGTGCCAGCCCATGACTTACCTCAATGCGTCCCAGCTGGGGGTGCTGGGGGTGCTGGTGTACAGCCACAGGTGTTGTGCCAGCAAAGAAGTCCTAAAGCAGCTGAAGAATGTGAAAGTGAAGAACATCGATTGCACTGCGCTTGCGTGGGCCGTAGTTTCGCAAAATGGAGAAGTGTTCACCTGGGGCATGCCTTGCAGTGGAGGGGATAGCCGAGATGTTCAAGATCGCTTGCAGAATGTTACCAAAGTGGTGGCTTCTCATGCCGCCTTCGCGGCACTTCTGGAAGATGGATCAGTGGTTTCTTGGGGTGATCCACTTTTTGGAGGCGATGACCTTGAAGTTCGTGCTGAGCTGAAAAATATCGTGAAGCTCTTTTCTTGCTACAACATGTTTCTTGCCATCAGGCAAGATGGAAAAGCCATCAGGTGAGGGGCCAAAATCTCCGGCTGTGCATATCTTTAGCTTTTTAGAAGAATCCCCGGCCTTGATGTGCCTTGATTACTCTTTGTTCATGGCTCAGGTGGGGCGACCCTGCGGTCAATGAGATTTGGGAACACCATGGAGGCCATCTTCACGTTGAGCCTCTCTTGGGTAATCTGCAGGATTTTGCCGGCAACGACCGTGCCTTTGCTGCTGTGCTGACGGATGGTTCGGTTCTGACCTGGGGGGATCCCAAAACCGGTGGCGACGACAAGGAACTTCAGGAGACCATTGAGTGCATCTTGGGCAGCAGAGTGCCGACTCCCTACGAACTAAGTGGCGAGGAGAGCACAGGAGACTCGGGCAACAGCCACGTGATGGACGGCTGAAGGAGATGTTTTGAAGTGGGACACCAGTTGAAGTGGCATGGTCATCCTTCCTCCGGCATGGGGAGTTGAAGCGTTTGCTTAAAGCAGATGCGGCGGCTTCCGAACTTGTCTGCGGCGTGTCCTTCTGCAAAGCCAGAACTGAAAAACAAGATGTGCGCGCATGACGACTGCATTGAGTTCTCAAGTATCTTGACATGTTTCATGATCTTAATTTCATGCTATGGATCATGATGATTGATTAGATGTTAAGATCCCAAGTACTGGATCAGTCTTAGGAAATCCACGGGTAACATCCTCAACGCACAAGCCGCTATGGATTTCCGGCTGGTGCACAGAACGCAGGCATAGACGCGCTGTCGAGATTTTCGGATGCCAGAACGCCTTGTGGAAGAAAGAGACGACTCGCGTTTTGGCTCAGTGGCAAGCCGCAAATTGATATTATAAGGGGGGTTCCATAAATGGGGGATCCCGAAATTTGTCGGTTTATAATGGAAATTCCCATTGTTAAAATGAATGATTAGGGGTGGAAATGTCCAGGTCCCAAATTCCAGGTTCTCCGCACCTCGTCCACGTTGCAAGCAGCCGTCTTCTCTGTTTTCACGGCAGCAGCTCGAGTGTTTGAGCTTCAAAAGGGCAGCTACGTCGACTGCAGTTGGTAAAAGGGTTCAGTGACATGTCAATTGGTGCAACATGTCTGAATTAAATGTACAGATCTACCAAAGTATGAAAAACAGGGTATGCCGTTCTGCACTCCCCCTTGGATGCGTCGTTAGAGTGCATCCATTTCTTTCTTTACAGCTCAACCTGCCCTACCCATTGTACTCTGTACAGTACATGCATCCTCTCAGCTCCGTAGCATCTCGTGCTCTCGGGCATCTTCGATCAGTATGGACGGTCTGATCGCCCATTCGTAAAAGCAGCGGACTTCCAGGGATTGGTCTTCCACGGGTGCGCATCGCAACCTCTCGGCACAAGGCACACCATGTGAACGGTCTCGCATAGCCAGTTCGTGGTCCTTGAAGCTGGGTGCATCCACGTGTATCGTGATACACTGTTCCACATGGCGTCCTCAACACCTGAAATCCAAGTTCTGCTCTGCTATGATCTTCTGGCACTCCTGGAAAGTCGCCCTGCCTCCCAAAATGGTCCCACAGGGTTGCCTCTTCATACGCAATGTCTTGAATCGCCGTCTCAATTCGGCCTGTCATACTGCTTGATGTGCTTCCACTTGAGGAGCTGGAAGCTGATGGGCCACTTTGTGGTGCGGCCTTTGGTTTTGGGCCCGCTTTTGACGGGGCCTTTGGTCCCTCCTTTGGCGGGGGAGCTTTTGCAGGCGCAGCCGGGAGCTGGACTGGAGGATCAGCATGACCCTCCAACCCGCCCTCACCAGCCGAAGCTGGGAGCTGGACTGAGGCCCTCTGCCCCAACCCGCCCTCACCGGCGCGTCGCTGCTCAGCCACCGCGAGCTGGACTGGGGATCCCTCCTCCATCCCCAACCCGTCCTCAGCGGGGCTTGGCTGGTTTGACGACCCAGCAGCCGAGGGCAGATGCCGTGGTCTTTCCACGGGTCCGCACACCTCAGCACATGCTCGACCCTCTGCCACTGACGTTTCCTCACCCATGGGGAGACTTCGGCCACGGGTAAAAAACCTTCTTTTCCAGTTTTCGCCCAATGCGCCTACTCCTACCTTCCACAGGATTTGGACCATCAGCGTGATCAGAATGATCAGCACCGTGTAGATGACCATAAAGTTGTGGAAGTCACCTGCTGGTTCATCGTCTTCTTCATCTCCTTGAGCCTTTGACACTGACAACAAGGCCGCCATCGTGATGAGCTTGATGGCCATGGTGGTGACCGATTTTGAGTCGGTCTTGATCTCCTTTTCTTTTTTCTCATCCTTCTCCATTTCAACATCTTTTTCGGGCTGAGCAACTCCCATGCCCATCATCTGCTTCAAAGTTTCCATCCTCGATGAGGTCAGAACTTTTGTGCCCAGGTCCGCCAACATCTTCTCACCAGGGACATGACCCACCTGCCAGTCACCACGCAGCACAGATTGGCGAGAGCAAACGCCCTCAGCAACCAAAATGGCCAGTGCAGCTTGCGAATCGCACAATGCCACCTTTGAGATTTCACCAAACAGCTCTGCCAGCACGACGTAAACTGACTCGCCGGCAATCATCGCCTCAACGAGCTCCATCAGCTCTGACTCGGCCGTGCTCAAGGTGATTGTGCCCTGCCTGCCGCTTCTCCAAAACATCAACCCATCGTTCACCATAACCACAAACGATCCATGGGACTCATCTGCTTCGGGTGCAAAGCTGGAGTCTGAGTAGACATACAGCGTGATCGGGTCATCGATCTTCTGCTTGTACTGTAAGCCCTCACCTGCAGTTCTCCTGAGATAGGACCTCATTTGTGCTGCTGTGTCCTTGATGCAGTTGGCGGCCTTCAAAACGTTGGCCCCCATCCTGGAAACTCCAAACATCAAATCTGGTCTGCTTCGGGTCACCAGCCAAAGCAACTCGCCGATGACCTTCTGGGAAAACTTGACTCCTTCTGGCGAAGGGGGAATCACATCTGGAGGCATCGAAGCTTGGTCACGGGTGATAGGGAGCTTTCGTGGTTTTCCCTCCTCCTCATAGCGCCCAAGCAAGTCTTTGATGTATGCCTCTTGTGAAAGGCACCATTGGACCTTCTCCTCCCCCTCGATTTGGTGGCAAGTCACCTCCAGGCCCAAAAACCTCACTGGTGTCTCGCCAACCCACTCCGGTTGTGTGGTCGCCCAGGTCTCTTGAAACTTCTGAGCAACTGACTTCGCCACCTGCTTCTCGGCGACGATAAAAATGTCGTCGACATACGTCATCACAAGGCCAATGACTCGGCCGTTTGAGATCCATTCTTCTTCTGCCTCTTGGAAGCCTCCTCTGACCACAACCACCTTCCATAGGTTCTGCTCTGACTCCATCGGCTTCAGCTCCAGGCTTTCGCAGCGGCCATCAATGACCACCTTGATGTCAAAGGTCTTGATCGTTTTGTCTCGATGAAGACCCCAAAGCTTTGGTGAGCGCCTGAAGCCGTACACTGCCTTCAATGGCAGGTACAGTGTGTCCGGGTCCAGAAACTTCATCTCCTTCAAGATGTGGGGTGGCTGGACCAAAAGAAGGTCCTCATCCGGCTCCTGTTCCATCTGCGCGTTGGGGAAAGCAGTTCTGACATCCAGGATGCATCCGGCCCACTTCATGCGGGATGCAATCCATGCCAACAACCTCAAAGATGTGGCATCTGCACCACCTGAGTAGTTTTCCTCCCCCTCTTTCTTCTCCTCATAGTTTCCGCAAACAACCCACCGGGTTTTCTTTTTCCCTTCTTTGTGGTCTGGGGAAGGTTTCACAGTGAACACCAGTTTGGAAGGTATGATCTCCAACTTCTTACCCTCCTTTTCTGCCTTCTTCTTCAACGCTTTGACTTCATCCTTTGACAGCTCCTTCAAGGCTGCCTTCTCAATGGTCAGGGACTCCACCTCGCTTCTCACTGATGGGATCCACTCCGACCAGTTTCTGACCACCTCCTTTGGTGAGATGACCTTTGTTTGAAGGATCTCATCTCCATCCTCCTTCACTTCAGCCATTTTTCTCAGCCTTCCCAAAATTCTGACTTCCTCGGCGGCCAGATCTGGGTCGTCGTTGATGATGGACTGCATCTCATCCTCCACCACCTTCATCAATCTTTGAACTTCAGCCTTTTCCTTTTCTTCCAGCACCTCCTCAGGATCTGCAACTGAGGCATCCATTCTCCTCACTGCTGATCTGCCTCTGATTCGGCGTCGCTGTTCTTGTGCATCTCGCCCTTCTCTTTCCACCGCAATCCAAACCGTCTCATCCTCCGGCTCAGTGGTGGGCGCCAAAATGTAGCGCGTAAGGCGTGGGGCTTCGCCTTCTTTGATCACCCAATGACCATGGTTTTCCACTGAAGGGCATAGATACTGAACCTTCTCCACTCTGGGGTCCAGGTCATCCCGCCTCCATGTCCGCTTTCGGACTCTTACTTCTTCCAAAAACCTTGGCCAACTTGGTCTTGTCTCCATCCGGACACATCGGTACACCTCATTGACGTACCTCAAAGCCCATGGCCACCATTTCGCATCTTCACTGGCCTGCCTCAACGTTCTGCGGATCTGGTTCTTGAAGTCCTTCACCGCCATTTCAGCTCTGCCGTTTGCGGCTGGATCATCACCTGGTGTTTTGGTGAGGTAGATCCCACGCTGTCGGGCCCATGTCTTGAACTCGCCAGCAAACTCATGACCTTGGTCTGAATGGATGCGGCCCACATGGAACCCTTCCGTCCGCAGCCGCAACACGAACTCCATCACCGTGTTCACCACATCTCTCGCCTTTTTGGAACCCATTGGCAAGGCCATTCTGAACCTTCTCAACCCTGTGACCTCATCCAAAGTTGGGGGTCCAAACGCCTCGCCTGGGAGCTGGACTGGAAGATCTGCATGACCTTCCAACCCGTCCTCACCAGGGGCGTCGCCAGGCTCTCCTTCAGCCGGCGCTTCACCAGGGAGCTGGGCTGGAAGCAACTCCTCAGCTTCCAATCCGTCCTCACCCGGTGGAACTGGATCCTCAGCTCCTTCTTCAATCTCCGGAGCTCCTTCAGAAGCTGCTTCTTGAGGGGGGTTCTGCATCTTGTCACTCCCCTTTGGCACCCTCCAGGTCAAAACTCCAACCAAAAAATACCTTGCCATGTGCCCACCCAAATCATAAGCAGGCTTCAGTGGACCAGCTGTGTCGATTGAAAGCACTCCAGCAATTGGGTCCTTGACCAGTCGATGAGGCGGGCATTGTTGTGAGCTCTCCTGGCATACTCGACAATCTCTCCTGTATGGAACATGCCTGAAAGCCAAATGCTCGCTCCAGGACATAGCTTTCCCTTTAAAAGTGGGGCCCTCAACCTGTCTGATCAAAGCTGAGGCGACCATTGACATCACTCCTGG